TGTAGTTTAATAAATTAGCATACAACAATTATACTAGATTATATATCTTGTGAACCGATTTTAGTTGTTATGTGGTAAAAATAATAATTGAAAAAAAAAACACGTCTACAAAACGAGTATAATAATTATAAATAAGATCATAGGAGAGGAAGAAGATAATAAGAGAAAATAGGATGCGATATTAACGATGTCAGCTGGAGATATAATAACAGGGCAAATGGTCAGGTCCTGGTGTTAAGTGATACTATGGACACTCGCAATGGCAGAGGGCTCGCAAGTGCGTTGCCGGCCTTGTAGGAATTAGAAATTAGATTACCAATTTCATATATGACACGGGTATGAAAAGTTTGAATACTAGAGATCGGCATGTTTACTTTTTAAAGAGACTAATTAACTTTAATAAAAGTTCTTTTATGGCAATTATAACGTGAGATTGCATTACAAGAAAAAGAACGTTTTAGTGATGGTCGAAAATTTTGGACCTAGCATTTTGCAGATTATATTTCAACGATAGAAACAGTATTCCATATTCAAAATAACACAAACAATAACTGGTGCTAACAAAATATATAAGCGAATTCCTAATAGCTAGTAATTTCCAAAATTCGTATATCGAATTGAAGAGCAATTCTAATTTTAAAAGGAATAAACCTCGTCTAATTTCATATACGATAAATATTCGCTAATTCTTATTAGCCAAGAACACTATAAAACATCCAAAATTTAAAGTTCAGACTATCAATACATTAAGCATAGAGTAAATTAATTGGTCATAAAGTCCCTAATATACAATTATATGCACTTACATCTTAACATTGAGTATCTACGAGCTGTAGGCCAAATGAATACATTTCGATAAATAATAGATATGTCACAGGCAACCAGCATAATAAGCCGTTCAATTAAGAGCGTAGCCTTTTACCCAAACAGTGCCGTATATTTAGCGGCCTGAAAGATATTCAGCCGTAGCGTTTGTAACAACAATTAATAAGCTGGCTGGCTAATGCCTAGGCCATTCGTACGATACGTACAGTGATCATGTGGCAGAAATAAGATGAAAGATCTGACAAGAAAAATATATCTTTAAAAATTAAATTGCTTGAGCCAGTCAAAGCTAAATTCACATTATTATTGTTACTACACTCTTCCATTGTAATTGTAGTTTTTCATTAAACTTTGGAAAACACTATCAAAGTTGTGGTTTCCCGACGCCATATTATATACGTACATTTGAAAAGTTTCGTTTCGAGGAGGAGAGTGGCATAAAGTGGAACTAAATTTAAATTAACAGTCAACAGGCTAGGCAAGTAATAAAACGTCATCGATCCATGTAATTTGCCTAGCTGTTTGAGAAACTGGCTGAATATGTTGTTGAATGATGAATATGTTTCAGGCCGCTAGTCAAACGGCGCTGTTTAGTTAAGGGGCTAGGCTGTTAATTGAACGGCCTCTAAAGCTAGTTGGCTGCGACAGAAATATACGAACGTCAAATCGTTATTACCACAAATAAAAGAAACCTTATACATTGAGTAATTAATATCGAATGTTTTTAAATATTCGCTAGACACAAATATATATTAGATCACTGAGATGCAGAAAAGCCTACAAGTGACTATCAAATATTGTTATACTTATAACCAAACATTGGAATTTATATTTCTCCAGAGCAAATTAAACTTTTCGAGGCTTTAATTTAGTATACACATTTATATATGGTTTATAGATATTTAGTACAATCAACACCGTACACAATAATTAAGCAAAGCTTTACTGTTCTTTGGCTACTAATTAAGGTTATACAAATGGCAAAAAAGTTTTGTTACGAGCGGTCAAGAAATCCTATCACTCTCATATATTGCCATAGGCGCCATAATCTATTACAATCATTATACAGTTTTTCTGTATAATTAAAGAGCGCCCGGTCTTCTTAATTCCCAATAGCTATAACGATGCCGAATGAATTTTATCGAACATCTACACCTAGATAGCGTTACTTTGCGTGGTACAAAGGTATATTAAATTTAGAAGTCAAGATCGCTGGAACTACTGAAAGTTATAGAGTACCGGGGTAGATATTGCGAGTTTGTGTGGGTAAGTTTTGCAGTTTTAGCCGTAATATACCTAAATCGGCGCCTGCGCTTTTTACAACCGTGGCCAGTATAGCCTGCACTCTGGGCCCAGGTTATAATGCGTTATCAACTAAGCTAAAAGAAACTGTCTGAAAATTGTCTTTATTTGGCATATATCGTAAAATCAACAATAAAAAAATAATTGCAAAATGAACACGTCAGACAGCCATCAGAAAATGTATAAAGTGATTATGGGGCTTATGGTAATACATTTAGACACAAATCTACAGTAACATTTCTAACCTAACATCAGTTATTTTAAATACTTACACTAATACTGTAAGGGATACATAGTGTTGGCACTAGTAAAAATAAGCATTTTGTAAAAAACATCGAAAAATACTAGGGTGAAATATAGGGTGATAAATGCATACAGTACGTTTACACGAAAATAGAATAGTTTTATAATTATACCTAACACTTGAATAATGAAACACGTCAATAAATAGACTTAAGATACAATCACGTATAACATATAAATTTACTGTAGTCAATTGAGGCGCGCATTAAAATTAATTAGACCAATTGCGAAACTTATATAATTAACAGAATTGTTCGAAATTCACAATTATAATGGTAAAAATATACGAATTAAGTTACTATATGAAGAAGATTAGAATAAAACATTTATTAAAACTACGCTGAGATTACTCGTTTTTTTTTTGCAACTTTGTTATTAATTTAACTAAAGTAGTTTTACTAACGCATGGATAAGCTAGCTAAGGGTTTCAATTAGACTTATCAAACGCAATAGGAATATTTATTTTAGAAGCTGCGGCATGACTATTGAACAATAGCGTAAAATCAAACAATCTCATGTGACAGCTGAAACGCAAAGAAAAATAGCGAACGAGACCACAACTTCATAGTTATCCCATGACTGAAAACATCTAATCAAAGTTTAAGTTTAAAAGCAAAAACTAAAGCACGGAAACCATTTAAGAGACCCAGCTATTTGGCTAAATGGTATATGACTTATGTTTTAAAATGAGACTCATAAATTAATTAAAAAATCAAATGTATCATTCGTATGCCAGTTAAAGATAACTTTATTTAGTCCCGTTAATCTGAATTCTGTTGTGGTTAGCAAATAATTTAATAATAATAAGGAAAATTTTGACTACAATCATTCATCATCATTCTTCCTGTGTGTTGTTATTGGATGATGAATTTTTCGTTAACGTTTCTAACAAAAAAATAAAGAAACAAAAATCTTCGGTAGTGTATATAATTGTTGATGTTATTGCAATAATAAAAATCTAAAATTGTTGTTACATTTATTTTGTTTGGTGTCTACTTCGGTTTATTGCTAATATTAGAAGGAATAAAATAATATTTGTATGATCTAAGGGTAAGATTCAGAAAGGAGGCTTCCGTACGCCAAAAGTTATTGGATTTTGACATACCTATGGAAGTTGTATTTCGCGCTACATCTCATTCCTGAATCTCATCCATAGATGTCAAAAATCTAATATTGAAATAAAAAAAAATCTTTCAGTAGATTTAGTTAAATCATGCCTAATAAATTAAAACAATAAATAAACCAACAAAAATAATATTAGTAAATTAACTAAGGGAAACATTATAGTAAAAATAAATTCAATGAATACAATACTCTTTTTGTTTGTTAATTTTTCTCTAATTCATATTAATCCGACTAACACATATCTATAAGTTAACACCTCAAACAATGTCTTGTGAACGATATGTCATTAAACGATTTAGAAAAAAAAATGCTAGAACAGTTTCTCACATTTCTTGTGTAAATTATTAAAAAGTCGCGAAATATGAACTACCTAATTATGCAAAAAAACAACGGACATAATTATAAATTAGCGTGGTTTCTATGCTTTCTTTCTTGTTCTTAGATTTAGTATTACTATAACTACCTGTCAAAAACGGATAATCATTTGACAAAATTAAGAGTTCGCATTTAAAGTTGACACTAAATCTTATACCAAGGAATAATGTGAGAGATTAAAGTTAAAACTAATAAAATTATCACAGCAACTAACGCTTGGAATAAGAGCAAATTTTAAATATCTAAAATCATACATTTTTAAGATCGAAATCACGAACAGTAACATTACTATATTGGTAATGCGACCATTGTTCAATAAATATGAAATTAAATGGATTTTAACGGGTCTTCTAATTATATCTAGAACATTTATATAGAGATAATAATTATTAAGAAATTGTAGTTGAGTTTCATTACTACGTTGTCTTCTTTGTTCATATAACGTTCAAAAGCGAAATATTGAAATGTGTTATAAATACAATCAAGTTGCCGTGCATTGACTTACGCCAAACTATGAAAAATTCGTCAGCTATTGAGCTGGAGATTGCTCCATACCAGCAACACCCTATCTGTAAATACCTCCTAACCCCTGAAGATTAATCTCCCTTTATTCAATTGACAATACCTATGGCCTCATTTTATTTTAAGCGTTTTATCCCGCGTTGAATGCAATCCCGATTTTTGTTCATGTAAACATTTTCCTAAAATACGTATTATCGTCATATACAGTCATATATAGTCAAGTTGGAAATTCTATTTCCTATAGACAGGTTTTGGTATAGTACCAATGCACACAACGGCGTATACTTAAATAAATAAATTCGTTCATTGTTTAGAATGAACTTACAATGCTTTTCACTTTGTGAAGTTCATGGTCGTTACATTCAGTCTTGTTATAGCCTAATGTATCAAGCTAAGAAAAGAGTGGGTACTCAAATCTTAGGCAGGCTTCCTCACATTGATTTTAATATTCTTTACGTAATAATTGATTGAGCTTAAAAGGAATATAGTATCGACAAAATATAGGTTTATATCTCGTTAATATTACATTTCTTTTTAGTGGGATTAATTTAGACTGCGTTCATGGGATTTTCTATAATATTGACTGATGAATAGTTTTGTTTTTCTTGTTTCCTCTTACAAAAGAAATCAGCAAGACTTGACGCCCGTTTTGGGACTCTTGAACGCAATTCTTCTATATCAAGACTTATCCAGTCTTCGTCCTTCGATGTCTGAATTTCTGTAAGGGATGTGTTAGCTGGTTCATCTGCAAAATATGTTGCTGCGCCAAGGTCAGTGGAGTAGGCTTTTGATTGTAGGAGACTGATAAAAGCAGGTAATCCAGGGTTATCAGTAAGTGAAAGAGGCCGCTGTATGTGTCTCATAACTCTTGCACGAACGGCACCGGCGAGGCTGTCACATGATTTATTTTGATTTGAGAGCTTTGGGCTACTCGCGTCGTTTTGTTCTTCTGAAATTCGGAATAAATTACATTATTATTCGTTTCCTAAACCACAACTCTTGTTCCCACTAGCAACTACGTATCTATTTGAGTAACACTTGAAAATTTATCGGTTTAGTTGCCTAGTTATTTTATTGCCAATTTGATATAATCGTCCGCAAAGGGTAAAAAATTGTAAAGTTGTAAAATAATTTATAAATATGTTTCAATTTAATATTTTAAGGATTACACTCATTATCTTTAATAGAAAATTAAAATAAATTCTTTTACAAAAAGCACTTTTTTAAATGCGAATTTATTACATTATTTACAAGTCCACGCTTTGAGTCCTTTACGGCAATTATAAGAGACTGCTACAAGTTGACTGATATCAATTTGGTAAATTGAAATACCATGTAAATTGTCATGTTACAAGGTAAAATAATATCTTTAAAAAATGACACTGATTATAGTTATTAGATCGGTACTCTTAAGTATAATATACATGTGCTAGTGTGTCATAGTGTGTCTCTTCTATAAAATAAAAAAAATAAATCAGTGGCGCTACAACATCTTGAGGTATTGGCCTCAGATTTCTGAATCTGTGTCATGATAATTTTTAAATCTAATAGGCAAGTAGGTGATCAGCCTCCAGTTCCTGACACTCGCCGCCGACTCTTTGGGTCTACATGTCGGTTTCCTCACGATGTTTTCCTTCACCGTTCGAGCTAATGTTAAATGTGCACATAGAAAGAAAGTCTATTGGTGCACAGCCGGGGATCGAACCTACGATCTCAGGTATGAGAGTCGCACGCTGAAGCCACTAGGCCAACACTGCTCTCTTCTCAGTGTCTCTTCTATATCAATATTAATAGAACAATTAAAAATGTGCTCGTTATATACATGTGTGTGTGCCCACTACCCATATACAATCACCGTTCTGTTCTTATAAATAATATTTATAATAGTTTTAAGTTATAAGCCCTGGTACCTTTCGGTATTGAAGATCTCGGTGTGGGTCCATCCTCATCAGTGTGTCCTTCAGAAAGTGTCTCCAAAGGACGATGCTCAGATTTGTCAATGTTTCCACCACCACCAGAACCGGAGGTCGACGGGGTTGGGTTCTGCAGCATAAACATCATAGTTAAATTTAGAATGATAATTTCATAGATAGAGACAGTCTTCGAAAGGTTCAAAACCATAAAGCAAACCAAACGCATAAAGAAAAAAATCTGTTAATGATGGACAATGGACATCCACATGCAGCTCGCTCTACCCAACAGCGTAAAAAAATTGAATTATCATTCACGCTGTCTCCACTCTCGATGCGTTATTAAATTAAATATTGACGCTACTATATATACTAATATACTACTTTTCATATTGTTTCTTTACCTATAAATCGAATGAAATAAAAATATACTTACACTATAAATATCGTTATTATTGTTCAGTATGGTTGTTTCCCCGATGCCATCAAGAAAGAATGTCACCATGTTCCCTTTGCCTTTGACGTCAATCGTTCCACGGCATCGAAGCTTGTAGCCACGCTTTGACAGGATGTCGTACACCTCCTGTGTCACCTATACGCAACAGCCATCGTGTTATACAGTATTGAGGCCTCAATTAAGATTTCGCTAATATTGTAGTACCACATTTCATCGCAAAGCATTTTGTACACGACTCGCATTGAGATCAAAACAGATTGACGATTAAACATTTATTTAGGTAGACATATTTAATTGAGACTATGAAATCATAAGCTCTCAGAGTCGTCCGTTAAATTATCTGTCATTCTAGATGAAAAAATACTGAATATTTACTGAATGATTTACAAGTCAATTGGCTTAATGGACTACTCTGAGTATTGAACTTTTTAAATAATAACAATGTGATGCTTGCTTGATCTTCACTTGTTGATCTCTTTACTAAGGATAGCGATGCAAGAATGATATATAGAATAATTTAAAACTCATTAACATAGTAATATGAAAACAATTTAGGAGAAATGAATCAATCTTGCGTAGCCATGATACTATTGTAGTGAGTTTCACCTGGATATGATCGAGGAGTCCAGTAGAGTCCATGCGCGATGCAACATTGACAGCATTGCCCCAAATATCGTATTGTGGCTTCCTTGCTCCAATCACGCCAGCCACCACGGGACCGATGTTAATCCCTGTAACAATCCAATACATGTCGTTTCTCAGACGGTCGTTGTTATCATTTGGAACAATAGCATTTTAATTCGCTTGAGTAACATTCGCATATAGTACAATCGCAGCGCTAACATTTACAACAAGGATTGAATAATATCAAATTTACCCAAAACAGTCCATGTTTTAACAGGCCCATACTTGAAAACTACTATGAGATCAGCCGCATAGATCACATACATTTGTAAAGTGTTCAATATTGTTCCACAACAGTATCGAATCATATACTACTGAATGCAACTGGTCCCAACAGTAGCGGCTCTTACCTATCCTTATCCTGAAGTTGTTAAAGGAATGCTCGTTAACATATTGCAACTGTTCACGGAGACGTAGTGCATAGTCAGCCATCGCTGTCACATGTCTAAAGCCTAGAAGGTCGCTAGTTGCCACCGTCAGACCTGAACACATTAATAAAATAATTTATTAGTGTAAAAATATTAACTTCCCATCTCCCATGTCGGTAACGCTTTCAGTAACATTGTCGTGTTCCAAAAGCAACGTTTATCTATACCTATCACCCATGGGGCGGGTTAATTTTACTAATATTTATTAACATCAAAATCGTTTAGGTGCTGTACTTATTTACAATCTGCCCTGGGTACTACTTCCGCCGCTGCCAAAAATACGCTTGCTCCAATATCGTCGCTATTGCGTATTTGCACCTCAGCTCTCAGTGCCACTACCGCAGTGCGTAACATATTTAAATACTCAGGCTATCCACTTCCCAAGTGACTTCCCTTCGGAAGACGTCGGCGTAGATGTCTTGATATTATTATTAAAAAATACATTTTATAATTCTGGAAATTTGGGGTTTCATATGATACTGTTAGTATGTATCAATAATAACATAACCATCGCAGTAAACACATTAAAAATAACATCTCCGCTGTTGTTTTTCTGTAGACTATTACTGTGTAAAATTTATACTTATAGTAATTGGACATAATTGCCTGGAAAAGGCTGTCCGTAATAAAGTGCCGATTCCAATAAAAGCAACATCAGCTAATGCCAATACCATACGTACGCCAACTAAATATTATAGAAATCGAATATGCTATTGAAGTTATACGACTTCTATACTAATTATTATATCATAGGATGCTGATTGATTCACCTGACGCTGCCATGTACGTCGCACCGGTGCTCTTGATTTTCTCAATATACTTGAACTGTTCTTCAGCCAGGATCTCATCGAAGTCTGCAATTATCTCATTCAGCAGACGTAGGCATTCCACTCCCTCATTATTCGCTTCCAGTTCAACGTAGAATTCCGAAAAGTTTGGAATCGATGCGAACATGACGCACACGGACTCACATTGTTCGTGGTACAACTCCTAAAAAATCAAAACAAATTAACAAATTATATAATCTGTTATATAGTGATAGAAATGGATGCATTGAGTGGATTACTACATCAAAGGCTTATCTATATTTTTGAGAGTTTCTTCATTTGAACGCATTGATTTCAGAAAGTACTGGTTCGAGTTCAAAATTTATTTTTGTGATTGACAGACGGTACGCTAATATATAATCAAATTATAGGCCAGTCATTATAGACATTCGAAATCGAAAATTTGATAATAATTCCAAAAGTTTTCAAACTTCGATCAAGTGAATGGTACATTGGGACGACAATAAATCTCATTTTGCAACCTTGTCCGCAGTCCGGAACATTGTTAAAATTGCAATTAAATTAATTTTATGTCTGTATGGTCGTGAAAAAATTCCAAAAGTTCTGCAAACTTGGGGAAGTTTTCGATATAATATTTCATATCACGTATAAAATTTGCAACCAACCTAAGTGTACGGAACATTTTTTGTTATTTATTTTATTTTCGATATATCTGTCAAATTTGCAGAACTTTTGGAACGTTTTCCTTCAGTTTAATAAAGAACAACATTAATTAAATAATGTTCCGTACACTTAAATTGGTTGCAAATTTGACACGTGATGTAAAATAATATATTTAACACCACTCCAACTTTGCAGAACTTGTGGAATTTTGGTCTCAAGAACTAAGCAAATTATCATTTATTGCTTTTTTAACAATGTTCCGGACCGCAGAGCAGGTTGCAAAATTTTATAGTTTGTTTTAATACCACTCCCGACCTTACATCAAAATTTGAAAACTTTTGGAATTATTATGAATTAATTGTCTTGACTGACTGGTCTATAAGGATAAAGTAGGGTAAAATATTATGACACTACTAAATTAAATATAAAATATAAACAAATTAGTCAATAAAATCGCTAATATACAAGACAGTGAAATAAAATATTTTCTTCAGAATCTCTTTTACACGAATTTGGTTTACTAGAGGACAAAAAGCAAGATTTAAATAGACGTGACTACTAATTTTCTTGATCACTGAGCCCCCGTAACTGCCGCAATTGTTTTTTAGAAAACTATTTGATTGTTCCCATACTATTATTTACACAGAATTACTAACAACACCTTCTAGCTAAACGCCTGGAATATACTTGCTGCAGCAAGTGTATATATAGTATATGAGCCGAAGTACACTTCAGGGTTCACAGGCGACAGTAATCCTCGATTAATAATCTTACATTTTTCCGTTGAAAAAAAAACAATCACTGTCATTATTGTCTATAAGAAACTTATACTAACGTCAAAGTTTTTGTCACTGCACAAGAAATGCTGGGCAACGTGTTCCGGTAAGATATTTGCTAGAAGCTTGCGGTTGTATGCCTCCAAATGCTCCATATCTTCTTTTTCGTCTGGAAATAAAATTGGCACATTAGAATTACGTCTCACAAATTCGTTGTAGCATTTTCTATAATCATATATCTCAACATTTTTATCCAAAAAGCTAATTTTATTCTGAATGTACTCGTATGTTATAACGGGTAAACCCATAATCAAAGACTCCATATATATATAATTATTTATACTTTGATTTTTAATTCAGTAGAATTCTGACAGCTATCATTTTTTGACATGACAGAGATTACAGAACTTTTTGGGCGGGCACATTTTTCACTTTCAATACGAGTCTATTCATTTATTTGTTAGTGTATGTATCCATTTTATTAGGTGAGATGCTCCACATTGAAAGTGGTCCCTTTTCATCACTAACAATAAAAAAACGCAACGTGACACCTAACACTTTATTTTCTTTAAAAAGGTGTACTAAACCTGGAATTAGTAGGAAGTAGTAGAGAATAAAATAAAGTAATTAAAGTTAATTCGATATATTTGTAATTTTTGTATTAGGTCACTTGAGTAAGTAAATATTACATTTTTCTTTTTTTAGGTAAAACATAAAAAATACGTAGCATTTTATTTTTTCTTGCTTTAAAATGGGTCAAATTTGTCCCCTTTTTTAGTAGCAACACATCAAAAAATCAGAGTTTAGTACTAAATATTATAGATAACCTATAAAATTTAAATTAATAAGTTACAAGATTACGTGCGTGTGCGTGTTTTGCGTCTTCATGTTTGGCGGAGGGAAAAAACCATAAAGATTATAATTATGTACCATTTGCCTGCAATTTCCATATGAAATCCAGTCTGTATGTACTCTCAGTTTGCTGGGAATGTAGTACCAATGCAATGAGGCCACCCAGAGCTCCAACGATGTTTGTTAGGTCTTGACTCCAGTCGTCAACACATGTAAACCTGTGAATACATAAATTTAATTATTTTAAACCTTAACTATTAACCAAATGAACTATTTATTACTTATTGGTAGGATAAACATTGTTGCGTTTCACGACTGTCAGATAGCGCTATTCGTCACATAAAGTCCATCATAAGTTGAGTCCGATGAAGTGTCAAATATCACAATTTATCTTCCAGATAATTTATGTGTTGCATAGCTATTTGGTACTTTATACATACATTGTGAAACAGACCCTAAATGGTAGAATTTAAATTTGACAAATATAATTTCAATCAGAGGTTTCCTTCCGAGTTGATATATTCGATTATATATTTTTATTATATATTTTTGATATATTCGATTTCATGGCTAAAATATAAAAAAAACATGTCAAGGTTTAGATTGCTCAATTATTAAGTCATGTATTGCGACTTAATTTAGGACAAAATTTGTTAGCAACAACTTACTGAAATTCTGAGTAGTTCAGTTGATAGTAGATATATTTTCGAATGGTAACACCGATGTATATACCACTGATGATAACGAGAAGAATTGTCTTCAAAGTCGTGATGAGAATCTGATGGGTGGCACATAAGAACATTGCCAAAAGTGTCAGCTGCATGTAGTGCTGGAAAGGAAATTAATAATTAAGAAGGAAAATAGATACATTTTTCCAACATTGGAGATCACATTTTGCTTTAAATAAATTATATCTGCCCCTCTCCACATCGAGCTTTTGTTAAAAAAAGGGTGCGTGTACTTATGTACGCGCGTAAGAAGTTATACTTCTTTGGCACTATTAAAAATAGTTTTTGATTGCATGCAAATAATTAATTACAATTAAATAATCAAAGATTGCAAAAGGAGTCATTATAGTCAATAAAATTTAGTGTACATTTGAAAAGTTAAATAAATAAATATTTATTATTATTCTCTTACATTAAGTGTAATATAAATACTATTATTATTCGAATGTTGTTTTTAAATTATGTCCAATGCAGTAGCATCTTCCGTGGGCAACTTCATTCTGTTAATTTTGTGTCACGGAGGGCGCGCATCGAAAAATTTCACTCTGATCAATTTTTCATAACGCGCCTAAAGAAGTATAACTTCAAAATAATTAATTACTTATATTATTTATAAGTGACTTAAGAAATACCGAATGGGATTACAATTTAATTTTTTTCCTCGAAGATGGATACATAAATGGGTCAAAGGGCCTGGGTACCAAAAAAAAAATATTGGTCCTCAATGGGCCAATGATACTGCAATATTACGGATAACTAACCTCGTTAATACTCTTGGGACATTCGCCTTCATTTGGATCTTTTTCTGATAGCAGATGGATTCCCTGCGAAAAGTAATGCAATTGAAATAAGAATAGCAATGACCATATTATATAGTAACAATGATGTTCAAATAATGATATGATATATTTAATATTTAATGTGACACGCACTTATAGGAAAACACAAAAAACCCGATGAATGCTCAATCTGGATATCGGTGAGTTTTGGCCAATTGAAATTAAGTTAAAAGGTACATTGGCGACAAAGATTCTAGTAGAAAAATTAACCTACTTATTTTTATATTTATTTCTCACATAACCATTGTATCTTAACCGTTACTACTAATACGATAGAACTACACAATAATACCTACATACGCTGATAATTCTATAATTAAAATACATTATAAAGTAAAATTTATAAAATTAAATTATATATATATACAGCTCTTGTGATCTCAGCCAGTGTATAAATAAATCGGTCTACATAGATATAAATTTTATTTATTATACTCCTATCGCTTGCGTGAATGGCGCTTCGCTTACCAAGTTGGATTGTGCGGTACCTGAAAAAGTTGTAACTTTTCCTCAGGTTCTTGCTCGGAACCTGTAGACCCAGTATCCATTACATCCACATTATACACCCGATCCATAAGTATCCTAAATAAGTACACTGACAAAGCAAGCTGTCTACTGAGGCGTTGCTGGTCATAACCCACCATACCCAGAACAAACAGGGTCGGGTACATTAGCGGATACAAAGGATACACTCCATACAGTCTCTTTAGGTCAGTACTCACATACGGTATCACTTGATAGTTTTACTCGAAGTCGAGTAAAAAACAACGTGTGGACCGCAAAACTCACAGCTCGAAGGCTCGCAAATTAAAGTTATTTCCTACGAACCTACTCGAAGCGAGCCGTCAAACTTGACTCGAACGTGTATACGTGACTGCGAGTGGCGCGAGGCGAGCGTCAGTCTGGTATTGTTTATCGTGAGGAGAAACAGATTTTCTCATATGAGTGTCTTTTTTTTATTAATGGGGTAATCAAAGAAATTAATTCTTCATATAGCTCTGGAGGCATCCTTAAATAATTGTTATAACCTTCAGGGCATATTCGTAGCTCTTCAATCAAGTTCACGTGGCTGACTTCGGAACGGCGATCTAACCAATATTTAACCCAGTACCTCCTTTTACGTCTTTTCATTTTCTTTGATTTTCTTATAAAGCACAGTGAGACTTGCTAAATACAGCCACCGTCTCCTTTTTTGCACAGACATCCTTTGGCTCGAACGGTTCGGTGAATACTGAACGGCGCGCCTCACTGGAAAGATCAATGCTCAATGTGTGGACGAAAACCCGTGCCATGGGTTTTACTCGACAGTTTAGCTCGATCGAGTAATACCGTATGTGAGTACTGACCTTTATAGAGGTAAAGGGTATTTAGCTTACACCACACCATTGCGTTGCACTCCAAGTGACGTCAGACTAACGAATTGTATAAAATCTGTATTCTTAACGCTTTTGATATCCATCAGTATCACCAGCGACATGAATGAAATAATGATTAAGTGATTAGATTATATGGTACCTACCATAATGACCTCAACTTGTATGGTGACGGTTGCAACTAGCAGGAAAGACATAAGCTGCGCCAGGTTTCGATTTTTATGAACTCTTTCTGAAAATTTCTGAATGCTCGGCACCGCATACTGTAAAAAATACCTTGAATTAATTGAGTGAATCTAACTTGTTTGAAGTCGTTAGTAGATACAGCGGCCGTATTGTATAACTTCCAATATAATAATACAGTGGTAAAGATCCGATGTTTTTGTATGGAATCTCAATCTCGCAACCTTGGAAACGCGCGGAATAAAAGAGCTCATTATTGGGTTCGGGTTCGCTGTTGGTATCGCTATACCGCTTACGGGCCCAGGTTTCCAAGTAAATTTCCCGTTGTTACCAACTAGGATGGCAGACCACATTTTTGCGTCTTTTTCAATTATATTTTTTTAGAAAAGCACATCTGAGTAAGACAATGGGTCCTTCGATGTGCAATGTGCATTTTTTATCAAGTGTGTGGTGTGTGGTGTTATTAAAATCCACAAAAATATTAAATTCAATTAATCGATCTCAAAGATCGATTTTTGCTTAATTATTGACATAAAAATTACGACGTATATTTTGAAAAATTATTATCGAAATACGAAAAGGCTGGTTTTTAAAATGACGTCACCTATTATATATATTTTTTTGTTAACAAAAAACCTCAGTGTAATAGAGAGATAACAAATATTTTATCGTATCGGACAGTAAATGCTGTATAATTTTAAGGAAAAAATATCTTATTACCTCAAAATCTTTGCAGAGTACAATGAATATAACCCCCATGATTATCGTCGCACAAGTAAGTATTGTGATAGTTCCAGCCAATGTTCTGAAAATGATAACATTTAAAGAAATTAAAGCAAAAATTTCATAAGAGAATTAAAATTATCATACAGCACGATGATCTATTTAGATTAGCAGGCACTTGTACGAAAAAACTCGGAAACTAAAAATAAAAAGATAAATTATATTTTTATCATAATAACTTTTTAAGTTCTCAATATACTAACCAAAACGTATTAAATAGCTAGAATTAACTTGCTATAAAACTGAGTGTATTGCTTTTAATGGTAAATGACTCCTCCATGGGACAATTACTGCAAGTTTCGCTCTAAATAAAATTTTATTGATAGTAGGTACAGTATTTCATAATATTAATGTACGTCTTTTACTGGATGCAAGGTAGTCATAGTAAAATGAATTCGGGTATCACTTATTCCACGTCATTGAATTTGAAACTGTAGGCTGTACTCATCAGCAAAGAAAACAAAGGGTCGAGAGAAAAATCCGAGGTAAAAAACTCTCAGTACTCTTTTAAAATAGCAAATCATTAAACAACGCTTATTTTAAAACAAACATCGAAAATTAATTAGAAGAAGCCTGTTTATCACTAGTCCCAGGCCCTTATATCAACTAGATCGTTATCTTTATACTAATCGTTAACTTTATAGTAAGCCTTTTTACACAGCTTTTCTTTTATACATTTCTTAAATTTATTAAAAAGCAGAGATAAAAGATCCTATGGGATTTTATTAAAGAAGAGTATCCCTTTACCCGAAAAAGAATTACTAACGTTCGACCTAAGTCACTCTGAATAACCCTTAGGCTGACAGAATTTACCGAAGATTAATTATTACTTTGGCTCAACTGTGTAAGAAGCCAGCCATTAAAGTTTCTAAAACAAATACTATACTACTCACATGTTATAAACAAGATACTGCACAAAGACCATAGCAATGTACACGAAGATCGAACATAGGAAGTATACTTTCAGCATTCTGTCCCGCTCAGCAATGTACTGAAATCAAGGAACAATAATTTAATTTGATAATAAAACAAACTTTATGAAAACGTGTAAAAATTATTTCAGAGGTGCAATACAAAAAAAAAATTCTAACGAATGAGCCTTATTACCCAGCCCACTAATCATTATATGTTTAATTTATCTTATCATAATGCTTTGTGAAATTCATGATAAACACAATAATTTACTAATATAACTTGTAAATTGTTGATAGTATTTACCAGGGGTAAAATATGACAATAATATTAATGGCATATCGACATTTCTATTTTTACAAAGTTTTATTATGATGATTATCATGCTGTGACGGAAATATAAATAATTTTGTAAACACGGTTTTTCTGCCTCCCAGAACGTCGAATTTACAACTTAGTTATTAAAACCAATGACATTATACATTTGTAACATTAAATATTATATGCTGAGATGGTATCACATTTGTATCTAAACACATCAATATGAACGAGATAAAACCTTTTATCAACGACAATTTAGCTTTTTGAGGCAGTTAAATCTACTGTTATTATAATTATAATATATATAACTAGCTATGTATTATAAGAATAATCTCTAGGGGATTAATTTACTTCTTGGTAAAGAAAACGAAATCACTAATTTCCCTTTCACTTTTTTTTTATGGCTCTGGCACGATTTGTGCATTAGCCAGCGTCAAGTGTAGGATTTTTTATAATTCGTGCTTGTCTTTAGAAATTCGACCGTGTCCTCCATGTACGGTTTAGGCACTCGCCCGGTACCGCACAACCCTCCCAAAGGCCGAGAACAAATTTAAATTAAAACTTGCCCTCGAACCGGGAATCGAACCCGGTACCCTCACCTAGCTGCCAACCCCTTTCACTTAAAAAAATGAATCATGAAAGTGTAATACATTTTGGTGATTTTAAATTAAGATTGTTTTTGTAAATTTACATAGTAATATTTCAAATTTCCTGTCATGAATACCCATTGTTGTTCAAAATAAAAAGTAAAAATAAAAGTCCGGTCAGCTCTCATAACAAAACGATATTCTATAATAAAATTCCCAATGTATTGCTCACCAAGATATGCACATAATATGACCAGTATAATTACCTGATAGTTGACCTTGATAAAAGATCTTTATCGTGGGGTGACTTCAATCAACACATTTGACAATAAAGGAAAACTTTTAATGTCTTTCGTATACTTTAAAAATGTCTGAATGTTGTATTCTTAATTAGAATTACAACGCAATTACCACGTGGCCGTCGTCCAATTAACTTGAGAAAACCCCAACTTTAAAGAACTTACAATTGCAGCAAGGGCTGGGGTGGATTTAGTATTATTACACACTGCGGTATTTATTTGGTCAAATTTAATGCTAATTAAAATAACATATACGAAATTTGGCACTCGGCACACATATTTGATACAGAAATTTTACTAGAGTTGGAAGCCGTGGTCAAATTATTTATTTAAATAACCACAACCAAAAATATGATAATTTACATTGTTTTTTTTTTTAATTGAGAAAAAGCTTGCTCGGGACACTGACAAATTGGTAAAAACAAACACAAAATACAATTTTTAGTGTGACAAGCACTTAAAGGCAAACATGACATACATATATAGATCATAACCTATTATTAAACAAAACAATTATTACAAAAAAAAAACAATTACTAATCAAAGAAAAAATTCAAATTACAGAGAACTAAACAAAAATCCAAATTGTTGAAGACTTTATAACTTCTATTTCTTATGTTATGCTTATAATCTACACTACCGATTTACTAAATTATATTGCTTCTCTAAGCACTTGTTATGTTATATCAGTCTAATTATTCATCAACATTGATCTAAGTGATAAGAAAGTAAGACATTAAACGAAACGTTGTTATTAATTATGATTGGACAGACGTATTATCATGTCGTCAATAAACTGCTACGACTACTATAGATGATTTTGACCAATCACAATTAAAAGAAACGAGCTGTCATTACTTTTATCTACATACTCATTTCTGTTTCTTTTCATCACAGAGTAAACACAAATATGGAGAGAGAGACTACAATATTCTGGTAATAAATTAAAAATTACCTTTCGTTCAATCTTTCGGTCGCGGAAAGTAAGTGTAAATGGGCGACAGTGTTCCGCCCGCAAACGATCTATGGAGCGAGCATCGATTGCTTTCATCAAGTACTCATTCACTTCATCTTCTGGCTTCTTATTCTCGCTATTAGCGTCGACGCCGCTTCTAGAATATAAATTAAATGTATAAATTAACTACTGAACAAGAAGCATAATTAATTTATGTATACAGCTAAATCTGTCAGCATCACAAACATCCAAGTTTTGTATACAATATTAAATGATATTTGTACACAAAAAATAAGTTAGAACGGATATTTCAAGCTTATTATAACTCCGTATTAAAAGGAAGCCTTTACAACTCGTTCCCGTGAGTTGCCGGAATTAATTTCGTATAACAGAGGCCACCCGAAAATTGATTAATTTAGACGAACAATTATTTTCTAAATTGACATCTTCGGCAAAGCAATTCCGGTTAAAAATGGGTACCAAAAACACTGCGCGTTCTAAAAATTTCTGTAGTGAGTTTTTTAGAAACAATGAACATCAATTTTAAAACACAACCTTGGTTCGTATTCTGTTGGTCATTCAAATACAAAATCTAATTTTACATTTACAGCCAGTTCTCAAATCAAGGGCGTAGAACGGACGAGAAGAACTGGCAATAAACTCTCCGCCACTCTTTTTAATCGCCAAGGTTTTGTTTTACACAATGTTTGTAAGGAGCTCCAACCATTACACCATAATTAGCAGAACGAAGAAATAGTATCTTATAACATAAATTGGTGAATTTACTTTTGTATATCCTGAACAATTTATAAAAAATCCTTGATTAAAAACAAACGAAAACGCGAAACATTTAATTTCAATAAAGTATCCTCCTATATCTTATATTATGTACCAATTATTTAGATTATCTACGATTGGAGGAGAAACTCAACTGGCATTTTTAAAGGATTTTTAACGAGTTGTGTGTGTTTTTTAAGTGCACTTAGGTATAAACGTGGTATTGTAAATTGTAATTATTTTCAAATACTTAAAAAAAAATATTATAATTTAATTTAGTTTCACCATATCTGCGACCATATTTAAATACTTTAATCCTATTCATTGCGCTGCGTAGTGGTAATTACTACTTTACAGATACAACTGTCATCAGTTTAATTTAATTTATTATATTAAATTATTTTGTATCGAACTTACTTTGAGGAATGTTTTCCGTGTTGCGAGCCATGTCCCATCACCCGCATCTCCTTTGAGATGTTTCCATTGAGAGAGAAATTATTTTGAGGCTTCTTATCCTATATAGATATAAAATATTATGTTTAATAATTTGCTACAATTAAGTAAAATTTCTACTCAACTCATTAAATCGTAATTATTTATTATATTATATTATTATTAAATAATATATTTAATGTGTATGTGTGCAAATAGATATATTTAATGAAACTAAAAAATGTTTAAAAAATAATTTAATAAAACTTTAATAATTTAAAAATTCTTCCTTTGTATTAAATATATATTATAATGAACAATGAATCTTAGAACTTAGAATTTATTATAAATACATATATTCTTTGTACATTTTTTTGTATTTTTTGTATTTGTATTTGTAAGTTTAAATGTGTATTCCGTTTTTGGCTTTTGTGTACAGTGTAATTGTTTGAATATTGTTTAATAAGTAGCTGTAGGAATACCGTTGAGCAAATAAATAAATAAAAATAAATTCAAATACAAAGTAACATGAAATAAGCTCATAATGTGAATTTTCACTATACTTGCGTAAATAAATATTATCTTACTTGTTTATATACTTTTACCAAAAGCTTTGTTTAATATATGGAAAGTTGATGATGGACATCGATTTCAATGTCATCTTAGATTAGTGGATCCTATTATATAAAAAAAACACTCACAGAATATTTACTGTATAACTAGGTTCGATTGGTAGGCAGAGATCTTGAGACATCTGCTTGCAGTTACTTGCCTTAAAAATTATCAACGAAAGACAGAAATATATCCGTCCCATTTCTAAGTTATGGTAGCTTTAAATAGCCCTAGGGATAGCTAATCTTCTGATGTATTATTAGGTTTAAGACTTTAACACGTTCGTTGCATTACGAGATCTATCAGATCTCTTGCAGGACTTTTGTATTGTGCGTTGAACATAATCATGTTTTTTCACTCCTTGCGGGAGGATGTAACTTGTAAAGTTCTTAAAGGATGAGCAGGACAAATATACATATTTGCTTCCTACTTAAAGCTGAATTCAAGGACTTTAAGAAATAAATTAGAGATGGATTAGGTCCCTAACGCACAGTACTGTAATTGTTTTAATTCCTTGCGTTAGGAGATATGTCGGTACTCGTGAAATCGTACGCCTCGTAGACGCAAGAGATGGAGGATGGGATTTTTAGTGTTGTCCTAGAATCGACATTCGGGAAGTCGCGGGCACGTTTTGGAAATAACACTCGCGTACATACCAGCGTGTTGATTTTATTTTTGATAAACAATGAGTGATTAAGTTTAAAAGAAAAAAGTGTAAAAAATCTATTTTATTGGTGAGGTTTCTAACAAAAAATCAACGCCGGATTATACTGCTGCATTGTCCAGTAAAATATTTGTTTGGAAAATGTTCAAATTTGCCCCCCATTGACTAATAATGACAGTGATTCTGATTATGAAATATTTAACGATAAACCTTTTTCGTTGGAGCACACGCAGTTAAACAGCACTGACGCTTCTAAAAAACTAAACGAATTGTTACCATTTGCGCGTAATGTGCAAGCAATCAATGTGCTTACCATGTTTTAATGAAAAACACTTTGCATAATTAATAAAACTTTTAGAATCGATAACTGAGATATTATTTTATTCCCATCACTACTTACTACACATATTGAACTATCTTCGGGTGCGGTACGAGATACAATCGATATCTAATTTTTTTTTGGTATTTGTAGTTTATTCAAATGTCGTAACTGCGTGCGAACCTAGCAAAATATAAAGCAATTAGCTATCTTTCACCCACAAAAAATTCAAAATATATGTCATTGTTTTTTTGGAAGATATAAATTATTTTCAAAAGTGTATTTTTAGGAGACTGATTAGGTCTCTAACGCACCAGAGGATAGGCTTGTTACGAGATCTTTTAGGTCTCCAACGCACCAGCTGAAAGTTCTTTAAAAATGATGGCGCAGTGAACGTGTTAATCCATCAGAAACTTAGCCTTTAGTATCAGTATAGTTCAATATAATTGTATAAACAAACATCTTGCGATATTATATTCTTAAAGAAATCACATATTTGTAGAGTGCATTGAGTTTCGATGTTCAAAGGAACTATATGAGATTGTTATGTTTGTATCGTTTCTTTGTATGCGAATCTTTGAAGCTCACAACATAATACTGTTGTGGCTTGACTTTCTATCTAAATAAATAATCCCCTGATATTTTATTTATATTTTCTAGCAAATATCCTCTACAATAAGCTAAAATGTGTACAAACGTGAGTAAACCAAATTTGAATAATTATATATACATTTCTGAAAAATACATGACAATACACAGCCTTGATAATTATTCTGTTAAGAACGTAGGCCGACGATGGGAAACCTACCACCAAGTATGAGTTAGCATATATATTTTAAACTACTGTTAAAGTATACTTTGGGTCAGTGGCGTAACAATAGGTTAGCAGTGCTGGCAAAATGCCACGGTCCCCCGACCCAAGAGGGCCCCTGCCCAAGAGATATTATGTTCTATGGATGAATGTGAAGTCTCCAATACACATTGGGCTAGCGTGGGGACTACAGACCATTCCCTCTCGCCTAAGTGAGGAGGCCTATGGCCATTAGTGGGACATATACCACGTGTAATTGAGTACGCTGAAAATCTCGGCGTTTAATAAAATTAAACTGAGTACAACGTGATGATTTTTACTGATAGGGTTCCATCAAAAGAATTTGCCACGGGCTCCAGATGGTATAGCCACTGCTTTGATTGAGTGATGTAATGGAAACGTAAGAATTATTGCGTAGAAGTCACTAAATTCTAAGCTCAGAAGGACGAGAGATACGCATCCTGCGATTACATACAGCAAGAACTCATATATCATTATCGTAAGGAAGCCTAAGAACAAATTATAATTTGCTTAATATATTCTAAACTCATCGTAACGACATAAGGATGTTTTTTTCACTGAAGTCGTACTAGTACAGATAAAGCCTATAAATAATATCTTTATTGATTTGTGTTTTGCTTCTTTGGAATTTGAATTCGAAATTCTTAAAACATAAATATTAGCTGGAATTGTTCTGACACCACTAATAAAAAACCAATAACTTTGTTTCTAACTTACTACGGCATGAGCTGCCTCGAGTGAAAACTTTTAATTGAATAATATTAATCTGGCAGCCCAATCTTTTAAGCACTACTTCAAATCCATTAAAAATATCGTCACATTTTGTAATTCTTCAATAAACGCTAATTGGGGTTCCGAAATGCGAAAGAGGTCAAACAAAATGTTTTAATAATATACTTTGATTTTAATTTCATGCGACGTAAACTCTTTGACGAGAAATTAAATATTGATATGGCTCTTTCTAAATTTATGTATGTTAATTGATTGAATAAGGTCTGGTGGTGTTTAACGAAAATTGCAATTTCTTATCGTCATGAATGTTATTAACTCGTCTGAGACAGCCTCGTATGGGGCTGTAATGGCTAGGATATCGGATTTGCTTGCATGTCAAACCACACATTATAGTAAAAAAAACGTGTGGCACTCGGGGACTGCCGCCGTAGAGCTATATAGTTTATATTTTAACTAGGCCTTTAATACTAGTGGTATTATTTTCATCAATATGCTCTCTATTTCACTAATTAAAGAACATTTTCTGTAAATATTAAATCTAGGATCTTCATATCAACGAACACTCATAAATTATCCCTGATTTGATAATGACATGGATCGAATTAATCAATTTGGGCTACAAATGACTAATTACCAGATTGATAATTTTTCATTTAAGGCTAGCACTTTGTAGAGCACACATCAAACAAAAGAGAAACTCTGCGCGTGATAGTTGTTGTGAAGTTTTTCTTCCCGTACAAGTGTTAATGGCAATTAAATATTCAATAGTGCATTCACATGATATAGCCACTAGACTATATTTGCTCTTAGCTATAAAAATTAAAAAATAAATCAGTGGCGCTACCATCTTTTTAGGTCTGGGCCTCAGATTTCTGTATCTGTTTCATGATCATTTGTTTCTCTAATCGGCAAGTAGGTGATCAGCCTCCTGTGCCTGACGCCCAACCGTTCGAGCGAATGTTAAATGCGCACTTAGAATAAAAGTCCGTTGGTGCACAGCCGAACCTACGACCTCAGAGATGAGAGCTGCACGCTGAAGCCACTAGGCCAACACTGCTCTTAGCTATAATAATTTAAATAACGTACCACGCGGCTTGTATCATCTGGGACAATGAGATAGGTTTCAATGTTGTGGTCTTTCAAATATGCGTTCCGCTGACCACCGTTCCCCGGTTCCACTCTGTACTCATCGCCGAGGCATGCCAAAGTCTCCTTCGTGATGTGAACTCGCCTGAAAATTTCCGTTGTACGTGAACAATATTTTGCCAACGCTAAAAATGTATATACTTTATAAGCTTGCATAAACACATATATGTATATAAAAATATCAATATATACCCTGCAACTCCTCCACTCTCCATGTAGTTAGCCAGGGTAACGTCATTGGACCATACGTCAAACTGCCACTTGCGGAGGCCAAGTACCACGCAATGAACCCGGCCAGTGTGAATGCCAACGCGCATGTTTACGTTGACAGCCATCACTTCGCGTACCAGGCTGCGGATAGTAACAAATTCTTATAGTGGAGTTCCTAAGTAGCCCATGTCATAACAATTATTTAACAGTCTATTTCCTTCTCTGAAACCTTCGTTTAACCACAACTGCACCGTTCATTCTTTTCACGAAAAATGCAGTGTTTTTGCTTGTAAGTTGATGGTCAATATTTGTAAGGTAAGCGAAACGTCTTACGCCCGAACCCAATAATTAATCCACACCCTGATCTCAGATTGAAAAGAAAGTGAAGACGATCATCAAAATTCTCTTTTTCGTTCCATTTTATCGAGTTTACACTCATATTTGATAATCAATGTAAACCATATAAAGTAAATAAAACCGTACAAATAACATTAAAATATACACGTGTATGTTTAAGACATAACAAACAGTTTTTTTAATTATTTAAAAAACTGGTGTAAGTTAAAATCTGTTAAAATAACTAACTGTTGAAATTGAGCTTTCGTCATCTGTCAATTTCATACAAAGGTCTATCCACAGACACCGATACGACCTCCCATGGATAGCTTGTATCGACAGATGGCTATAACAATCCGTCAATTGGTTACAACATTTGGATTAAGATTACTATCTCAAATGGATTGAGATATGTTATAAGGTTCGGGCGTTAGGCTACAATGCAAAGTCAAGTTACTCTTGACTTATATGAGGAAATCTAATACATTTTTGATATACAGTAATCACACTTAGCTAAGTTTCGACTTTAAATTTCATCCTAAACATCGGTATTGACGTGGAAGTCTGATCTACAATATCTCTGATTTCTATAGACGTATTTCAGAACTGAAATTCTGAATTATTATTTTCCAATAGAAATAGCTAAACTAGATTTCTCGATTAATTAATTGGCGTAGCTGTCACGAGTCAAGCCATCGATAGCCTCATCTCTTCATTCTTAATTTCCAATTATTCAATCAATAGATACATTTATTAGAAAAAGTATAAATTCTTTGACACTTAGATTTTTTATTCTTTTATATAAGACAGGAAACCAATCGGCATGAGAGTTAAAGCCAATTGTAGACTTGCTAATGGCTCGTGGCTGTATTGACCTTTTCAGAATTGACAAGTAAAAACTCATCGCAGTGAGTTTAAATAAATTTTAAAGGTTGTATCTCAGATCAACGTTTTCCTTAAAATAAAGAATCAGGTAAAAAGTTAAACATAGTTTCATAAAAATTTAACGAAGGAATAAGATATAATATAACGCTGTTCAAAGGTAACTTGTTAATTTTGTAACGCCTGCTCATTCATCGTACGTTATAACATCTAATAATAAGTGATAACGCCGCCAGGACATTTACACTTTTAGTAATCGTTCTTTATTTTCTTCTCGAAGGATAAGACGTATTGGTTTGGAAAAACAACGACATCCAAGAGACACGAAATTATATAAGAATAAATGGCATTTTTAAATTAAAAAAAATGTTTTGTGATCAGTATAAAATATATATCTTGTATATAAAATTCTCGTGTCACAATGCTTGTTCCCATACTCACTCGACCAATTCTTATGATTTTTTGCATATTCAGTAAGTCTAAGAATCGGCTACTATCTATCTTTCAAACCCCTAAGTGATAAGGGGCGTCCACCAAAAAAAAAATACTTTTGCTACTAAAATGCATACAACCCTCAATATTCATCTACCCTCTTCGATCAACCCCTATTTTTTATTTGTTAGTTAAGAACTTATAACTTAAACTCTGAGGTAGAGAAAAATCACAAAAATCCCTAAAAGTTTTCATTCCGTAAAACCGAACAGTCTCTAGGGTAGCATAGCAAAATGTACTAAACAGGTAGGCTAGGCATTAAGGAGAAACGAAGTTCGTGGGAGCAGCTAGTATATATACTCACGCAATAGCATCAATCATGTCAAGTCCCATTTCGACGCAGCACTTGGCGTGGTCATCGCGAGCCTCGGGCAGTCCAGAAACGCAGTAGTAGCAGTCACCCAGTAGCTTGATGCGAAGGCAGTGGTGCTCAGCAGCTAAACGGTCGAATCTGGAATATGGCTCGAGTATTATATGTAAAATCAATTATTTATTTATTGCGTGGCATGGAATGTATTGTTAATAAGTTCCTATTATGTTTTTTAATATGTTTTGTCTTCAAGGAAGTATTGAAAATGTAAATAAATCAGTGGCGCTACAACCTTATTAGATCTGGGCCTCAGATTTCTGTATCTGTTTCATGATCATTTGTAAATCTAATATGCAAGCAGGTGATCAGCCTCCTGTGCCTGACGCACGCCACCGACTTTTTGGGTCTAAGGTAAGCCGGTTTCCTCACGATGTTTTCCTTCACCGTTCGAGCGAATGTTAAATGCGTACAAAGAATTGCCGGGGATTGAACTTACGACCCAATGGATGAGAGTCGCACGCTGAAGACACTAGGCCAACACTGCTCCTTCGGATGTATTGAGTAACGTATATTATGTTGTATTAATATTAGTAAATTGTATTTTTAATAATATGTCGTATTATATTAACAGCGAATTTTGCGAAGTTTTTAAGGTGTTATTATCAAATTAAAACCCGTTTTGTCTCTTTTTATATTCTCTTCCGCTCGTAGATAAAATTTAATATTACAATTTATAGTTGGTTATTAAATGTTGGTATTCCTACATTATGCTTTTGAAATAGGTTGGTAACTAACTAACAGTTAGCCACAAACCAAAGTCAATTAACCGTGAACAAGTAATTAATACAAATGAATATGTAATAATTAGCTGTGCTATTAATTATATTAATTCAAATGACATCTTGAATTTAGTTTGTCATATACATTTAGAATAGTTGTTAATTAATTAGCGATCATCCAATATTAATAAGCCTAAGTGGCTAAATGGTATTGATTTCAGTTGAAGATCCGATCCGAAGCTGAAACATCTTCAACCTCTTACGCTATAATCAGATAGAAACGATATACGTTAGGAAAAATGTATTGGTTTTTAGAATTGTACCATCAATAATTATTGAAGCTTCACAAACATTCATTTTGAAAGAGGAAAACAAGGAATTGGAGATCATTAATAAGTATAAGGGAGTTGTATTTTCCTCAGTCGAATTAGATTGATTGACGTAAAATATATTCGTAATTTCCTTTTATTTTTCATCCAATTTCTCTATTTAAATAAACTTCAGACATATTTGCTTTAACACGTGTAAACTGCTAATAAACTATAACAATTAGGAGATCAATAGTAAATATAAAAATATATCCACTATGTAATATACAAAGTACTTCGAAGTTCAAAGGTACATTCAATTAAGTTAATATTTGATTCGAGCTTTACATCAAAACCAAACCACCTGTGAAAGTTATTATTATTATAAAAGTACAATAGAGTTTTAAGCTTCACCCTAAGACGATCAATAATTAAAAGACCCATCAAAAGACCGATCAGGGCTTAACAGGTCAATCGCAATGGCACTTACCTTGCGAACAATTCATTAAGGAGTCTGACGAGTTCTTCAGCAGTGCATTGGTCTGACAGGGAGGTGAATCCACAAATGTCCGCAAACAGGATGCTAAACGAAAACAAACATAAAATACTTCAAATTTCAATAGATGGCAATCAAATTGTAAATATATGATGATGAAGTGTATTGTATAATTTTCAGTGGTTGACTGAAAAGTTCGTAGGATAACATAGAAAAAATCTTTTTTTTGATAGTATTTGATTTGATTATTCAATATACGTATAGTTGCATTCGAGAGCGATACAACGAGTATAGCGGTGATGGTAATACGCATCATACACTGCCATCACCGTATATTAATTACTGACCTAGTAAAAAAAATCCCCTAAAACGCTGTCGGGATTTGAACTTTACATATTGAAAAGCAAGCTATTAAATTTATATTGCCATAGCTCTCGACATAGATTTTAATGCGTAGCTAAACTAACTCTCTATTGTTAGACAACAACAATTGAATGTCGTACTACTACTTAAATTAAGTAATTAAACATCAAATTCTACTGAGTTGCATTATTTTAGATGCATAAGTATCAATTTACTTTTAGACTAAGTAAATTCATTACATTAAACTCTCAAGTTAATAAAAAATCGTCTTCTTCAGAAGATTAAAGCTACAATAATTTTTGTTTCTCAAATCACTGCAGATAAATATATTAATCTATTATTTAGGTATTCACGTAAACAAAAGGCAGTACTTAACTACTTATTCACAAATGCTTTATAAAAGCCCAGAGAGGGTTGGCGTATTTCTTAACCCCAATGAATGATTGAAGAGATACCCAAATAAATATTATTATGTAAATATCAAGCTCTGTGTGAATAATTTTGTTTCAGATTCCAAGAATGATATCGCGTACGGAATAACAAGTATATATTTTTGGGGTTTTTGCCCGATTGGAGTCATACAGGTGGCGCGTGATTGAAACACACTTATACACTTTTATCCTGCATCGATGCGCATTTCTATTACGCATAGGCAAAACGTTGCGCAAGGTGATTGGTCAAAGTAAAGTAACATTGCGTATCAACGCGTATTGACTAGAGATGCTGTTCAATGCTGACCAATCATTTACTATGATGACCCCTAATGTTTTTAAGGTTTGGGTTATTGGCAAATATTCATGAATTTCCTATAAAAGAGATCAATGTTGTCAAAATATAACGGGTTGTAAACAGATACCTTGAGGCGAACACAACTTGTATAGAAACAAACACAAATTTGTTGTTCCTACAACCAGGCTTAAAAAAATAAGTGGTTCGTTAGGATGCCAATGTATACGTTTTTATAATAAACTACCTAGCCACATTCAAGAACTAAGCCTTAATAAATTCAAAAATTGTATAAAGCGGAAACTTTGTCAGAAAGCCTTTTATACTGTCAAAGACTATATTGAGGACAAAAAGGCTTGGGATTGAGCTGCTCAAATAAATTTACACAATTAATGTTGATTTAAATACCTTTTACATACTCTATGTACAATGACATGAATATTTACTTTGTATAGTATTACTTATACTATTTTTAATTATTGTGAATGTGAAGACTACGTGGATCATTGTTTTTTATTTATTTTATCCTTTTCTCAGTGTTAGTCATAGTCTGACAGTTTGAGTAATTTATGCGGCCTACCCAAATGTCTTGTCTTTGGACTTGACAGGTCCACTCAATCTGTGTGGTTCTTTCCTCAAAAGACCATTTCAGACTGCAATCTACATGGTCTTCACATAATCTTGTTATGTCTGGACTTTAAAAGAGACTGTGACCTCTGAGTTAGTTTCGGCGTTTATTCTCAGAGTAGTAGTAGATAGGAAACGTCGAACTCATCTAGTTTAAAAAAAAAATATGTTTGACGTGTTTGTAAAAACCTACTTACAGAAATAAATCATTTATCATTTATTTATCATTTATTAGTTATTTACAGTGAAACTATATAGACATAGTTTTGTATGTGATAATATAGGATATAGTGGCGCATATATCTGTATTTTTAACGATTTTATAAATATTTTTTGCAATACGAATACAAGTCAATATCCACGAAAGATGTTGCTTAAATAAATTATTAAACAATTTATAAGAAAAAGGGATACACATCGAATATAATGTTTTCCAAAAAAGCTTTTAAGATTTAATTCGAACATCAGCAAAATATCCATATATTACTGTATACGTTTTTTTCATACAACATTCTTCGGCCGCCCTTTGTCAAAATACACACCTGACATTCTCGTATCGTTGTATGTAGATCTTGTGAAACTGCTCCTGACGTGGTTGGTTTGCGATGTCAGCCTTCATCTCCATGGCGACGTGACGAGGGAGTACCGATAGCAACAGGCGCTCCTGTTAACATTATCAAGGACACATGTACTAAACAGTAGGAGACTTAACACTTATACTAAACTGAAAGGTTTTAATTTCGTCCAATATTATTAAGGTATCTAAAATATAGGGTGATATATCTTTTTTTTTAATATTTGTATAGTTACATAAACAAAAAATTCACGTATTTCACTTGAGGTCTCGGGTTCGATTCCCGAGTGGGATCTAAAATTATTGAAGAAGAAATTTACAGTAACAGACGAGTTTAAAAATAAATATAAATATTTATGTGTGTCATAATAAAACCAATAGTGTCCACATCATCTCGACATCATTAGCCAATCAAAAGATTAGACCCTATTAATTCTTCCCGAAATTTCTATTATAACACCCAGCATCATCGCAAACACACTTGACTATCTGACAATCTAAAAATGTGTTATAATTGTTAAGGTTTGAGGAAATACCATTTTTACATTTTTGAAGTTATACTTCTTTAGGCGCGTTATGAAAAATTTATGAGAGTGAAATTTTACAGTGCGCGCGCACCCGTGACACAAAATTAGGAGTGTGATTATAGCGTGCGCGAGCGAGATAGGAATAAGACAATCTACAAGTAAAAAGAAATAGAATATGCGTGAAGTTCGTATGCCAACAATTTTGAATGACCATAATGACATTTGTCATTTACCTTTTAAACAAATAAAGGAGTTTTAATTATTTTTTCAAAGAAATTTAGCGATGCTTTTTGAATTATAATCAGAAGTGATTTAAATTGAATATTTAAACCAATACTAATTAATATTTGTGAAAAAACTGTGCTCATCAACCTTCTTAAGTGCTTCAATACAATTGAGGTTAACTATCCGTATGTATTATTATTATTATCGAGTAATGTTTTGATTAAAAAATTAACCACATTGTTTAATCAAAACATGTAATTTTTCTAATTTTATCTAGCAAATATAAGGAAAAGAGACAAAAAACAATTGATGAATCAGTGTAACTGCACTAAATTGAATACAAAAAAAAGAGTTTTCATCTTATCGCTGTGAAACATCAAAAACTGGAGGTGGAACAAAGCCAAACTATTTTTAATATTGCCAAAGAAGTATAACTTCTTACGCGCGTACATAAGTACACGGACCCTTTTTTTTTACAATCTTACATAAGATTGTCTGTGTCTGACAGTAGACTAGAAATACATACGGATATGATAAAACTTAAAAAATTGTGTATTAAATGCAATAATCAAAATGACTACTACTACAATACACTAGCAAAAATCGAAAATATTATTTCTTTTTACAGACTTTCGTGGCGTGCAGTTACGAAAAAAATCGTGGTCAACGGAATTTACCTCTTTGAAACTTGAAACATGTAGTTAAGGAAATCTTTTAAGGTTAGCCCACTATTACCTGGCAAAGCAATGAATTTTTTTCAGTTTTGGTTCTAGCGGACTTATACAGACAGTCTCGATTTAAGGCAGGTGCATACGGGGAGCAGTAGTAGTATTTAAATATAACAAGAGTAAAAGAGACATATGAATTTAATTTATATATGAAAGTAAAACATTTAGGGTCTGTTTCACAATGTACGGATAAGTTCTACATAAGTTCTAAATTAGCTATTTATTACTTAATGGTAGGATAAACACTATTGTTGCGTTTCACGACTGTCAGATAGCGCTATTTGTCACATAAGGTCCATCATAAGTTATGAGTCCGATGAATGTCAAATAGCACAATTTATCTTCCAAATAATTTATGTGTTGCATAGCTATTTGGTACTTTATCCATACATTGTGAAACAGATCCTTATATAAAAGTAATTTAGATTAATAAAAATCTCTTGAAATACATTTCAACAATGTTTACATTAATAATATACATGTACAAACTATGGAGCTGTTCGCTAAAGTGAAATATTAAATTATCGACTTGACTTTTAGTTTCCGATACATTTACACAGACTTAGGAAATTCAGCAACATGCTTGTAAACCCAAATATATATTATAGAGTCTATTGCCAGTTCTTCTCTTCCGCTCTACGCCCTTGATTTGAGAACTGGCAGTAAATGTAAAATTAGAAGCATTTGATGTATATTTTGTTTTTGACGTTTATAAGTGTACATTATGTTACCTAAATGAATAAATGATTTTTGACTTTGACTTTCCAATTCCCACCATATCACATACAGATCAAATTAATAATGATGTCGGTTAAAAATTACGCCGAAACAAAACAACCTTGCATTGTGCTGAAATAATTATTCCTTTAGATTTAAGTCCATGTTAATAAGTAAAGTGAAGAGTGGATTCTCAACTAAACCTCCCATTACGAGAATATACGAGGGCATAAAGATAATAAGTCTCGACGAAATAAATTCTACATTACGACCAGAGCTTTCGTATCGGTTGGGGAGTGGGGACCGGTAATCGTACCGAATAGAAAACCGGTTTTATAATTAATTAAACCAGTATAAAGAATCTTATTGTATAATTAAAAAAAACAATTTGCTAGAGTTAGATATTTAGTTTCTTAACTATACCATATAGAGTTTGTTTTGTGATTTTTAATATTTAGAAGTTTATTTGTACAAAAGTTTAATTGAATAACTTTGGCATCCTGTAAATCAATACGCATAAAGGCCGTTTCACATATATCAGTAATGCCACAGTTCAGTATCAGTGTTACAGTATTGCGTCAGTCTTTCAATTCACACATGTCAGTACTCAGTTTACGGAGCTTCAGCGAATACGAGTCCAATACTACGGAGCTAACAATGATAGCTGTTGCTTTAGATGACTTTTTACCATGCTTCATGCACCCACTTTCTTTATTTCCTTGATGCTGCTGAACGGAACGTCTGACGGAACTGTGGCTTCACTTAAACATGTAAATCGGCCTTTAGTTTGTTGAATTAATATCTAGAGAAAGCCCTGACACTTTTTAATATTAGAACCAATTTACGAATACATATCGAATTTGAAAAATCGGATTTGTAGAACCGATTCGACACCGGTTTTGAGCAATTAGCATGCTGATATATTACTATAGAATTAATAACTTAATTATATAACACGGCGATCATAATTTAGGCTCTTTTGGTCCTTTCACTAAACTCAGCTTGATGTTATTATTTTTCATTTACTCCCTCGGTCATTCATGTTTATGTCTTAAAAATAAAAATTGCTATTACTAAGTTTTGTATTCCTATTTCCGAATTCATAACCTTCCATGACTAGACTATTTGTTTCGATGAAGTGTCATAACGCCACATTTTAAATATAAAATTCAATTCAGTTTTACAGAATTTAAAAAAAACTCAGAACGGTTTCAAAAAAACAAATAATCTTTCGTTTTATTATAAATATTTTTATATAATTTAAATAGGTATTATTATTATATGTATTCTTATAAATTCAAATGATTATTCTTAAGCAGTGCGTATCATGCTCGAACCGAGTCTGACTAAGAATGGCAGGAAAGCTAACTTCCGAGAGCTGGACAAAATTACAGCGATAGGGTAACAATAAAAACATATAAAGGTGAAAAATTCACAGAAAGTAAGGAGATCAGACCATTACTACTTAATGACGGCGTCGGAAAACATCCTGAGGAATCGAGACTTAGAATAAACAGTCCACGTTCAATCACGCATTGGTCTGCAAATATATCTACCCAATGCCCAAATAGGGTACAACACTAAGTATCGCATTATATTGGGTTGATAAAAAACTTAAAATATTCAATTTTTGAAACGACTGTTATCAATATAGCCTCTAAACTATGTATGAAATAATTTCCGTTAAAATAATTACATTCGCTTGTGATAAACAGTTCGTTACAAACGTGGTGTTCGTTAGGTTTGTAATTTGTGATTAATTACTAATTTCGAGCTCACAGCTAATCGCTTGCTAACTAGGTTACACAATCCGTTCATGCCGATTGCGAACTATTGAAATACAATTTAACTTTTTTACATTTTTAGTCTTTACTTGTGTATCTTTATGTATCTGAGGTCGACAGTTCCTTAAAATGTTCTTATAGTGCCATCTCGAAGGTTGGTAATCATCACATCCACTTTAATTTTGGATGCCCCGCTTCTGAACTATGACTTGGTGACTTTGAGCAAACCATTGCCGAAGATTCCTCAACCAAGACGTGCATCTGCCGGCCTGGTCTCCTACCTATCACTTTCCCTTGAATGTAAGTTGAAGGAGCTCGTATTTTTTTGGTATTATGCTCCTTTGAAATGTATCCTCGAAATTCTCCCCTACAACTTTTCATTTCTTGCCAAACTCTTTAAGTGTCTTCGGAGCAGGTCTGGAGGTGGACGGTCGATATTCGTTTTTTAATTATATTTTCCTTTAAATATCACCTCTTTGTACATTACTTGACCTATCGTACTTCTTAGCTACGCTCACAATTATCGTGAGTCATCGTTATTTATTTAAGTTCTTTTACAAATATATATAACATAATTATTCATATTTATTTATTGAAGTAAAATTTCTTTAGGCGCATGAGGGTAAAATTTTTATGGATGAAATGCAATAATAATAATATTAGCGTCACAAAGATGTCAGCGTTTTTGTCGAAGAAAAGCGATTGAGACCGATTGAGAGTGAGAAGGGCGAATTACCGTTAAAAATTTCGTAAAGAGAATTGATAAAATATTAGTATTTTATATTTAATGCACCATAATTTATTGAAATCTCAAATGACGAATTGTAAATTAAAATGCCACGTGTTTTTATTATACAAGAAATAAATTAAAAAAAAAATATAATTTGTATTAATGTTCGACAGTTTTAATATTTAAATGACAATCAAATTCATGAAATTCCTAACATATCTCCCTTTTTCCCTCCCTCTAAGTCTCGGAAATCTAAAATTTTAGATTTGTATAAATATGAACAAGACTTAAAAATTAGTTTTACTTCTGACATGTGTACTTTGTACGCACGCACTTCTTTTACATAGTGCCGCAGTTCTTAGACAGACATTATGATTTTTCTTTACTTGGTTTGTTAGAAGGAGATCATTTATACACGATAAGACCACCCCTTGCCTTCCGTTAATCAGTTACCTAAATTTTTTATGAATAAAAAATGCACAAATAATAATATATGAGTGTAAAATTACAGGCATAACCACAACAGGAACCATATTCAGCTGTGGTTAATTGAATGAGAATAAAATTATTATTATTTTAAAATATTGGATAATAAATATGTTTATGTTTTATAAAAAATGTGTATATATTAAAAACTTGCCCTTTAAAAATAGGGCAGACAGTTTCTTGCCGATTCGTGAATCAATGCTACATGAAGAATCGAATCATTTATATATTTCTTTCGGCGCGTTATGAAAAATTTATGAGAGTGAAATTTTACGATGCGCGCGCACCGTGACATAAAATTATCAGTATGGGCGCCGAGCGTGCGCGAGCGAGATGGGAATAAGACAATCTACAAGTAAAAAGAAATAGAATACGCGTGACGTTAGCAGCTATGCCAAGAATTTTGAATGACCATAATGACATTTGTAGACCTTTTAAACAAATAAAGGAGTTTTAATTATTTTTTCAAAGAAATTTAGCAATGCTTTTTCACAAAGACCTATTGTTACTTAGTTAAAAGGTTATGAAACCTACCTAGTTATTAAATTGAATTAATAATATAATAAAATAATAATTATTATTAATATTAATTGAATAATATACTAAATATTAAATATTGTTAAATTATTAACGCTAAATATTTATTATTAATTACTTAATTTAAAAAAAAATAAAGAAAGCCAAAGAAGTATAACTTCTTACGCGCGTACATAAGTACACGCACCATTTATTTTATATTTACATTCATAAATTACCTTGCGAGAATTTGACTTTCGGTTTTAAACTATTTAAAAAAGAAACCGTAATTAAAAACATTTAAGCTTTGTGTTAATAATTAATACAGTATCGGCAATATAACGCGTCGGCGTTGCATTAAAATGATTGCTGTTTTAAAGTGATTATAACACAAACAGTATTCGTATTTGAAGATTAACATGAAACAATTATGCGAGATTAAATCAATCTCGATTTACGGGTTAAGCGGCTTCATCGCTTACTAATTAACATTTAATGCGTCATCATCCTCGGCTAACATAGAAATAGAACCAACGCCGGTACTCCATTAATTTCCGATAGCGATACCAACTATCACCTCCAGTTTTGTGAATGGCGCCAGTGCTTTGTTAATGTGATACTTGGTCCAAAGTCAAAATCACTTATTCATATAGGTAACACAATGTACACTTATGAACATCAAACGTATAATTATTATATGAAATGCTTCTAATTTTACATTTAGTGCCAGTTCTCAAATCAAGGGCGTAGAACGGAAGAGAAGAACTGGCAATAAACTCTCCGCCATTTTTTTTAATCGCCAATTTTTTGTTTTACACAACGTTTGTAAAGAGCTGCAACCATTACACCATGTTCCACGTAACATCTTAAGTAATAAATGATAATAAAATAAATTAAAAACAAAGATTTTTCCTCTATCGAAATAATTAACATCACTGCATACACGAATTTAACTACGAACAGTCACCACAAGTCGTGACCATCGAGTTCTCGTCCTATTGACCTCTCCTTCCGTTTTGTCATTATTAATTCAATTTTCTTTATCGATTCCTCAATATACGGTAGGCTAATATACATAAAGCTCCACTTTGAAATCGGTGTCGCTATACTGATCGAGTAACAGTACCGGTGCTAAGTTTTTTTTTTTTTAATAGAACGGGGGGCAAACGGGCAGGAGGCTCACCTGATGTTAAGTGATACCGCCGCCCATGGACACTCTCAATGCCAGAGGGCTCGCGAGTGCGTTGCCGGCCTTTTAAGAATTGGTACGCTCTTTTCTTGAAGGACCCTAAGTCGAATTGGTTCGGAAATACTTCAGTGGGCAGCTGATTCCACATAGTAGTGGTGCGCAGCAAAAACTGCCTTGAAAAACGCTCAGTTGTGGACGTCGAGGTGATACGGGTGGAATTTCGTATTCTGTTGTGTGTTTCTGCTTTTATAATAACAGCTGGCAATCATACGAAGCCTTGCATGAATGCTTAACAGTAGTAATGATATTTTTCTTATATTTAAAATCTCTTTGTTTTAATGCTTTACATATTGTTACTGTGATACACAAAGCGTCACTCACGCTCCAAGTGTACACTGTTCCAACAAATTATATTTGTCTCCGTAATATCGAGTCCCTCAGATGATAAAACTTTCTGTGGATGTGTCTTAAAACAATAATTATTAAGCCTGTATAATTGCCAAATCATGACAAAAAAATGATATATACATTAGCTTATACAGCTTAGATTTTTTAAATTTTATACATTAATTTTAATCTTGTTATCCTATATTCTAGCTATCTTCAGTACCGTCGATCGGAACCCCTTCATGGGTAGAGGCCTCCTCCAGCGTTTTCCTTAAATTATAACTAAAAAATGCGCCATATATCGAAAAATAATTATTATAATGATAGCGGTACAGTTTTACTCTGTATCCGAGAAACAGAAGTGCCCTGCGATTTCACCGCCGTGATAGCCTAAACCAACAAAATAGTTTATAAAGTCAAGGTAAAATGCAAAAACAATTATATATGTAGAAAAACACTTTTTTAACGGATTTGAAGTTATGTCTTATTATAAATTTACAATTATTTTACATAATTTTAAATTTAACCGACGTTTCGCGTGCTTTACAGCGTGCGTGGTCACGGTGACGTGATTATATATGTATTAATGGAGTGCCGCTACAACCCTATAATGGTGTTGGTTTTAGGAGTAGTAAAAGAGCCTTATGTACCTGACACATGTCGTAAATTTTTTGTTCTAAGACACTATTTCCTAATGATACTGTTAAAGTAAACGCTTAAACCACTGGGTTACAGCTCTAAATATAGAAAAAACTTATTTCGCTTAATAAGGCTTGTTTACCCCTGTTTGACGATAAAAACTTATATTGTGAAAATAAAAGTAAGCGCTTATCCACTCGACGTTGTCAATGAAACAAACAAGATAAGAGTGTAAGTTGGAAACTCCGCGTGAAATCGAGAAAAGTTGGAAAGGGATGAACCCTGATATACGTATTAATAAATTTCACACGACATTTCATGCTTTCGTATAGGTTTACTCTCATTTTGCACCAACACATAGAGCCAACGGGGGTTTATTATTATTATTGTTTTTTATAGAACAGGGGCCAACCGGGCAAGAGGCTCACCTGATGTTAAGTGATACCGCCGCCCATGGACACTCTGAATGCCAGGAGGCTCGCGAGTGCGTTGCCGGCCTTTTAATTGGTCTCTGTTTAAACTGCACCTTCATACTATTGGGGGGGGGAGGGGATTGATGGGCTTCGGGAGTCTCACTCACCGCACGAAACGCGAGTACAACAAGATGAACCTATTGTATCACTTCACGCCGGTTTTCTGTGAGACAGTGGAGACTGCCTCGGTCGTGCCTACGTTCCTATTTGGCTGAAGCCCGAAAGCAACAGCATGGCACTCCCACTAGGAAGGAGGTTGACTGATTGCACTGGTGAAATAACCTCTATCACAGGTTATTTCACCAGTGGGCGATGGGGTTGTCACGTCCCGACGCCGGTAAAACCAGGCGTGATGTACTTTCCATTAGTAGGATAGAGACAAACGCATGGCTATATTAATTAGAAAAACAACTAAACACGCCTAAAAGGTACAACTAACTGGACTTATTATTGTTAACTCAATACTTCATAATGTTCATAATGTGCTGGCACTATTAGACAAAAGAACGTCTCTTGACAATTATTAATTAATAATTATAATAATAAATTAATTAATAAAACAAGCATTTATTACTCTAATTAGAATTTTATAATTTTAAGTCTTGTACAGCACAGTACCATTTCAGTCTTTACATTATTGTCATGTGTCTTTCGATTTAATTTCACTTTTAATCTTTTTTAAATTTAATCGTGTTTTTTACTCCCACGATGTTTCTATCTATGTTATTTTACCTACAGATGTTTTATAAGGATTCGGTTGCCCATATTTGGTAGCTACATGAGTTGTAAACCTTTTTTTAAGTTTCATGGGCGTGTAATCATCTATCATTACTTCACTAAGAGACCCATAAAACTATTTCGATGTATTAGACATTCTTCCACCTCTTTTTGCATGGTATTATTTGGTGCTTCAACTGCCCCAAAATATTTTATTGTTACAGGATTTATTTTTATATTATAGATTAGTGACCTGATCAACATCATTTTTGACTTTTGAATAATAAATGGTTTTGACTTTTGACTCAACCGACAGATTTTGGAAAAACAAAAGATGTTTATGGCAATCGCGAATTTTTAACACTAGCCACTACCAGATTTAAAATTCCACCTTCCCCACTGAGTTTATTTTTTTTTTTACAGTTTCATTATTTGTTAAAACTTATTATTAACTGACCTGCTGTTGATTCTCTCGTTGTGTTACCAAACGTGCCTCAACACAATCACGAGTCTCCAAGAAAGCTCTACGCTGCGCCAGTTCACGTGGATAATGGGTCATAATGCCGGCAATGTTGCATGCGATCAGGGTTATCAGGTTGCAGAAAATCTAAAAATATTAAAACAACACACACATTAGAGACATATTTCAAACCTTAAAGTAAAAACTTTACCATTACCTTTTTGTGTATGGTTTGCGAGGCTACTTTAATAAAATGTTTCCGTTCCTTTCCTTTTTTAATACGCAAGTAGATAATCTGCCTCTTCTGGGCATGACATGTTCGTCTTCGATCTTAAACGCTAAACTTTTTCGGGACACCAGAGACAGTTCCAAATATTACTCCGCGGTAATCATTATTTTAAATTTGCGAATCCGTTAAACAATTTGAAGATAACTGTGTACACACCGAAAAAAGATAACTTTTTACACTATTTTAAACGCCTGTTTTCCTTTTAAATGCAGTTCTGTTATACCACTTTTTGTATCACACTACATACCTGAGTATCAGTAGTCTTGGTCATCATGATTTGGGCACCAATGCTGATAGCTCCAAGTATAAATCCACCAACAGTAGCCTCATGTAGACGCAGCGGTAGAGTAGCGTATGTCACATATGTGAGTAGCGCACAGATACCCATGCTCACGTTCATTGATCTGGTAATATAAAAGTAATTCTTAGCATTTTCCGCAAAATAATAATCGAAGTAAATATATATTTATTAATGTTAGTCACTTACAAGGTTATATATATAATAACTAACTAATTTTATTTATTTTATTTCTGCCAGTACTCAAACGGCAAGAAACTCTCCGCCAGACTTACTTATCACCAACTATTTTATATTCCAAGATGTCTAAATACATGGTCAGTGGCTTGTTCTTCTCAGGGTGCGTTACTTAACATACATTTTTATTCGTAGACTTTGGAATACAGTTCTACCTTCAATGTATTTATTCGAACAAGAATGACACAATTCTGCATTTCGTTTGCGTTTTGTATAAGACAAGCAAATTTTGTGCCTAAGCCGAAATAATTTTTATTAATTCATAAAATTAGAAGTATTAAATAGACTTGCAACGAATAGTATATTCGGTAGTATACCGAATACAGAATATTCGGCGAGGCCCCTGACCGAATAGCCGATACAATTAGGCAAAAGTATTCGGCTGGATTTTAGCGTCAAAAACTTGTACAGACGTGTTTGTTTTCATTGAATTGTTTCTGTTGATATGTTACATGTGACACATGTAACACATCAACAGAAAAAAATGCAGTTTCAACAGAAATGGATCTTTTCTTAAATATAACAATATATCACGTAATGATAATCCGTATACATGGTGCCAAGCAAAGAAATTTGAATTTCTGTGTTTAATTAAGCTTGCAGCAAAGTATTTGTCGGCGCCAGGAAGTAGTGTTTATCCAGAGCGCCTTTTCTTTGAAGCTAGCATGGTCTACGAGAAAAAAGAAGTAAACTACTTCCTAAAAATGCAGAAAAATTAGTCTTTCTGCACTATAACCTTCCCCTTCTAAATTTTGATTATGAAAATAATTCTGATGCATAGAAAAATTCTTAACTTTTTTAATACAGAAAATGATTAAATTATGTACCTACCAATGATTACTTAGATAATTATAACAGAAATGATAATATGAATATATAATCAATCGATTATAATTTTTCATTTTACCAGATATTTCTCTATGAGAAAATATATTATTTAAGTATTCGGTAATCGATATTACCGAATATCGAATAGTGACCGAATATTCGTTGCAAGTCTAGTACTAAACACTAACCCCTGCGCGTATCCGCGCTTACATAACATAGTAAACATACAATATCTTACCCATAAATCATTTTTAATACATTATCAAACCACTGTTTAAATATCAAGACAAACACTAGCAAGTGTGCGATTCTTTTTGTCTCTGTCTGCGCTCATTATCAAAAATTATATCTCAATTTCTTTAAAGATTTTCGTGTGAATCGGAAATGTCATACAAATAAAATTAATTTAAATTTAACATCGACTTCCTAAATTTATGTCAATGGCAGTCCCCAATTCACTTCACGTATATTCAAAGTGACGTATCATTAATATTTTGAAAGTTAAAATTAGATAACGCGTAAAGTTTGACCCTAAAGTTACTGATTGGGAACCGGGAGCTTTCACCACAACCAATTGGAAATCCCCTTGCAACTTAGCTAACTTAGTTTGAAATGGTCTTTTTATCTTACCTTACTAATGGATCCGTAAGAGTTAAGATTGTACGTATGTAAAAAGTAAATCGTATCGTACTATGACCTTTTTTCTGAAACGTATTGAAATCGTATAAACGAAATAATTTTGTTTGTGGTTTTTACGTAAGTTTTCAAATTTCACTGACAAACTTGCCTCAACAGATCTGTTTATGATAATACAATAAATGTTAAAATTACTTTAAAAAATTCTTCAATTATTTTAGCTATTATGTTTTTAGTATATAATATATATTTAGTTTTTTAATTCTTATGATAAATTTTAAACGTAAAGTTTTCTGGTTTGTTATCGCTTCCGTCAAAATTAAAAGTATCAATATTTAAGCTATTTCAGTTTTACAAATTTTTAATTCTTGATATAAAACCCTTTGCAAAAGATATAACAAACCAACTTATAACTTGTATATCGTAAGTAAGTTTAATATAAAAATGGATTCATTTTAATTGTACAAATTTTGTTCATACATTAACTAGTTTATCTAATATATAAAATTCTCGTGTCACAGTTTTCGTTGCCATACTCCACCAAAACGGCTCGACCGATTCTCATGAAATTTTGTGTGCATATTGGGTATGTCTGAGAATCGGACAACATCTATTTTTCATCCCCCTAAATGTTAAGGGTAGTCCACCCCTAAATATTTTATTTTTAGATATTTTTTTCTGTTTTTATTTTTTTATGATACAGCATTAAAAATACATACAAACCCCTAACTTTCACCCCTCTACGATCAACCCCTATTTTTTATTATAAATGATTTATATGGCAAAACGACGTTTGCCCGGTCAGCTAGTATAATATAAATAACAATATTCTATTACAGTTTACAATTGACTAGACAATCTCGCTGTATTGAGAGCCATGTTGGCAAATACGAGCTTCAATTAAACATATGAATATATGTTTACCCAATGGAACATTGCCTTCATTTTCTATTTTGATGGCGTCATCCTAACTAAATACTGTTATAAGAGTATGTTGGCTATTATTTACATATTGTTATTATGAAAAATACTCATGTTTATTTAAAGAAACAAAACATCAGAATCAGAATAATCATGAACTTAAAATAAAATATGTTTATTATGGAACATAAGATACAGGTATCACTTATTCCACGTCATTAAATTTGAATCTATAGGCATCCCTACTCATCGGCAAAGAAGACAGAGGATGTAGGCCGTTATGATATAGAATTCTTACTAAACTGATTTCTAAAGTAGGTATATAATTAATTATGCTATATTTTAATCTAGGGAATTATCGTTGAAGAAGCTGGTTTAAAGTAATTGATATGATATTTTAAGTACAAATTTATGTATTTTTGTTATACATACCTAACTAACCAATTTAATATTGTTAAACATAGTTTAGCAATTGTGTACACAGAAATCTTCAACGAATCAAAGTCGATCTGTAGAAAATTATAAACTCGATATTTTAGAAGTCGGTAGAAAGGGATTGTCTTGGCTTGTTTCGTATCTCCGTCGATTTTTTATTATTTCTTCGTAATCACTTTCATTAAATTCACATTTCGTTAAAATTAACCCAAAACTAAACTCTTCATTTCAGAAATATAATATTACACTGTTTTAACTATTATAGACATAGACTCTTATATAAATCTTACTTTATGAACTAGTTTTATTTAAAATATTGAATTTTATATGTTCTAAATTATTACTTGGACGTTTCGATACAAAAAAGGTTAACAAAAAGTAACTTTTTCAGAATCGCTTATTCTGTCATAGTACGAATTGCGAAAATTTTAATGAATGAAGTCTGATTACCGCTGCTGAACCTAAACTGGCTGGTTTATTCGAAGTCTTTGTATGAATAAGCGATGCAGTTCAGTTGAAGATTGTCATTAGGCTTTCATTAGGCTTCCAATAAGAGCTCATGGACCCCAGTTTTTATGAATATTTCTTCACGTAACGTTGCTGCCTTCTCCTTGCATTTTTATATTTTCACCGAAGGAGCTGATGTCATTATTTATAAATTACTAATGAATAAAAAACTACGAATTGGATTCTTGTACAATTTTCACCAATAGTATTTTACCATCGGTCGTCGAGGCAGAATACGTGATTCTACCCGTATCACCTCGACGTACGTATTTTCACATCTGAGCGCTTTAAGGCACTTTTTAGAAATACTATGCGAAACCAGCTGCCCACTTTAGTATTTCCGAACGAATTCGACTTAGGGTCCTTCAGCGCACTTGCAATCCTTCTGGCAGTGTGAGCGTCCATGGGTGGCGTAACTTAATATCAGCTGCTCATTTGCAGGTTGTTTTATAAAAAAAAGTGTCACCCTTAGATTTAAACCATTATAGTTTATATTACGATGTATACGTATATTATGTTTACTAATAGAAATTCGAGATTTAAATTTCATTAGTTCTAAACTTTGTAAACCTTCAAGCGAAATATTAAACTTGAGGTTCTACTCGTATTAGAATTTGTTTTAATGAAATTACAACATTCCACTTTACGTGGAATTCGAAATGACACATGTTAAAAGTAAATTTTCAAAACAACTAAACACGTCCAACCATGTTGAATCCCTTAAAGGCCGATTCACATTTATAAGTGAAGCAACAGTTCCGTCAACGTGTCCGCTCAGTTCAGTATCAGTGATACAGTATTGCGTCAATCGTTCAATTCACATATGCCAGTACTCAGTTTACGGAGCTTCAGCCCTGTAACTCTTAATAGCAACAGTGATCCTGACATTTTTGTATGCAAGTTTGATGTAGACTCAATATCCGGAGCGCTGATATCGCAACCTTTAGATATACAAACTCATTATTGAGACCGGGATCTTTCTCTGTATCGTTATTGGAAATTCTCAAGGGGCATGGTCTCCAGACGCTGTCAGCAAGGAAATTTGATAATATAAAAATTCGAATGAGTGTACCGGTGTTATCTCTCTATGGTATTAATCCATGGTATTCTGCAAATGTAGTTACTAATCTGACACATCCTTCTATGCACAGCGAGGGCTAATTGCACGCTTCGTTCGGCAAAGAACTTTTTAACACATAATATTTTTAATTTCAACGTAGAAGGAGCTTTTTGTTAGTGATTTTTCAAACGTGTTAAAAAGTATACTTTCTTTCATGTTTGTACATAAAAATTAAACCCTGTTGTTGACTATTAAATTTCTACATTTCAAATAATAATTACCCGGCTATGCATTAATTCTCTTCCATTTTAAAATATAAAATGACAACAACATTTCCTGTGCAAGACTAGACATACGACATGATCCAGCAATCTGTTTGGCTAATCACAATAGAAGACTGTTTGCATTGAGTGTAATTTGATAAAGCAAACTCTCAACCGTGCTCTGTTCAACACCAAATTCAACTATAAAAAACAAATATAAATTGAGATAGAATTTATTGAATACATTTATTTAAAAAATTTAGAAGTGTTTGAGGTATTGAGATATCTCACGATTTTTCATAAGAATATCTGTTATGCTGATTTAAGCAGTGTATAAAATATATCGAGAATGCGTATTTTTGTTTCATAAGCAATTTGTTCCACTATGACAATTGTATACATACTTATAAAACTGATTTCATTGTAGTCAACAGCGGTTGATAAATAAAATATTGTAATTGTAATAATACATCCTTACACTCGCACAAGCTTAAAAAAAAAGGGTGCGTGTACTTATGTACGCGCGTAAGAAGTTATACTGCTTTGGCATTAATAAATATAGTTTTTGATTGCATGCAAATAATTAATTACAATTTTAATCAAAGACTGGAAAAGGAGTCATTATAGTCAATAAAGTTCAGTTTACATTTGAAAAATTAAATAAATAAATATTTATTATTATTCCCTTATATTAAGTGTAACATAAATTCTATTATTATTCGAATGTTGTTTTGAAATTATGTCCAATGCCGTAGCATCTTCCGTGGGCAACTTCGTTCTGTTAATTTTGTGTCACGGTGCGCGCGCATCGTAAAATTTCACTCTCATCAATATTTCATAACGCGCCTAAAGAAGTATAACTTCAAAAAATGAAACAAATTCATATTAACAATTAAAGACTGTATTTTTCAATAATATCCTCGAGGTTAACCTTATATTAAATGAGTCTATGTATACTACTTCTTAATATATTATAATACTTCTAAAAATATTTTTTAATAGACTGTAAAAGGCCCCAAGAGACGCTCTAAGCATTCTTATAGGCATTCTACCTAAGGGGCACAATTATTATATTAGGTCTCCGATATAGGCGTAGACATAGCTAACTTTCGCTCCAATGGGGAATACCTTCATACCACTTAGCCACGAAGCCCTGTATATACTCCTAATTAAAATACATTTAAAAATACATAAAACTCACCTTAGTACTGCGGTGCCGCACAGGGAGCTCTCAACAAGTATGAAGGTGGTCAGGACAATATATGAGACGGTCAGCAAATATATCTCGTTCATTGCTGGTCTGCTCAAGCACGCGAGAAGACCTAGAATACATCTCTTATATAATATACATCTCTTAATCTTATATTCTGGTCAAACTAGAAAATAATATTAAGAATATGGTATATACCAACAACTGCATTCCAATTCACCATTTATTCAATTATTATCTTATATATAAACATAATTCATACTTAAACCAATGTGTTGCCTTCTTTATTAGAAGGTTAACGTGCTCAAGACAGGGTCGCAGAGTAGGGATTTATTATACTAAACGTCAAGACCAGTCAACGTCAGAATCACACATTGTACATTTTCAGGCAAATATCAAAGTATAACGTTATTCCAAAACTATTGTACAGTTTTCAGTTGTACTTCTCCAAAGGCTATTAAATGTATGCACACCTATCCGTTTGAAGCGAGCCATAATTGCTTTTAGCCTCGTGTGCCTAATAAAGGAGTCTTTAGGGAGCACAGAGTCAAAGCAAGGCTTACCTCAGGCTTAGATATGGCAAAGGTGCTTTTGTTGTTCCATAATTAGCCAGTCTAAAACATAGCACACTGGGATTGGAGAGCTAAGAAATGAATTATACAGTTTTTATTGTGCACTACAGTGTAAATATGAATTTGCTTAAATATGAGAAAAAGTATTTGTTTTCGGTACAGCCTAAACGTTACTGATGCGTTACTGTTTCTTTTTTATATAAAATAGGGGGGGGCAAACAAGCTTGCGGATGATGTAGCGGCGTTATGATGACTATCGCAGCCCATAGACACTCATTTAGAGTACACTTATATTTGATGCTGACTTCTTCATTTGTTTCAATGATATTTTGAAGCAAATCAGTGATCTAACCTAACTGTGGCCAATTATTAAATTCACCTTATGAACAAAGCAAGACTTTCTATATATCTATCTAAATTTTGCGTTACGAACAAATTGAGTTATGGGTAGTTTTACCTCGTGTTAGTTATGCTTAATTTTAACATATATTTTTACTGAATGTGTCATAAATTGCAATTAGCAAATTAGATAAATAAATGTCTAACAGAAAAATATTCCCAGAAATCCTGAATCGGATTTTCGATTTCGAATGGACTATAAATTTTCGTTTGAAGGGAAAGCAAAATATGTAAACATCATTATTATTATTTACGGTATTAAAACTCTCCGGGGATTAAATGGGTTCACTGTGTATGACATCTTAATCCTTTGTTTTATACAACCACTTTAATATTTCATTATTATTTCGAATACATATTACATAACCTTTCAGGCGCATTGGCGAAACGCTGCGTAAAAGTAATTAATAATTAACAAACGTTTTTAATTCATTTAAATAAAATAAAAAATCCAGTGGCGCTGCATCCTCTTTAGGTCTTGGCCTCAGATTTCTGAATGTGTTTCATGATCATTTTTTAAATCTAATAGGCAAGTAGGTAATCAGCCTCCAGTGCCTGACACACGCCGTCGACTTTTTGGGTCTTAGACATGTCGGTTTCCTTCACCGTTCGAGCGAATGTTAAATGCGCACATAGAAAAAAAGTCCCTTTGTGCACAGCCGGGGATCGAACCTACGACCTCAGGTATGAGAGTCGCACGCTGTAGCCACTAGCCCAACACTGCTCAATTTTTAATTCGTGTATTTTTTTAAATTTTAACTGACTTCTACATTTGGCTCACAGTAGAGTTAAATTAAAAGCTAATTAACAACCTTCTATAATTTCATTTCAATAAAATCTTAATTTGTAGTGGCTTTAGCTAAGAGAATATAATAATATAAGAGAGTTTTTTCATTTATTTAATGTCCCTTTAGGCTATTTCTGGAATTTCAGTTAAACAACTGAATTTATTTATACAATATTTGTTTAATTGTTTCCAGCCTCTCCTGTTTGGTGAGTTTAGTTCAACCGTGAAAGATTCTTCAACAACACGCCTTAAGGTGGTGCGTACAGACTATATAACATAACATGTTATACAACATTGCTATACAACATGTTTCAGATAATGTGGACACTGAATGTTATAAAACATGTTATTGATATGTATGCTAGGACGAACCCAGCATCTACGTTTTTTTTGTTTTTATTTTGTTATTTAAAATGGTTATATAACATTGTTATATTGCATTGTTATTCTAATGTGTACAGTATTGTTTTATGTTATAATGTTGAATAACAAGGTTACATAATGTGGACGTGTTATAAATCACAAGTTATACAATATGTTACATAGTCTGTACGCACCCTAAGGGCGTCCCCTGAGACTGAAACATCTGAATGTCCCGAACATCACAGAATCATTGTTTCATTTTAAAACGTTACCTAGCAAAAAATATCAACGAAATAGATGCAAAATGTCTTATGGTTCAGGGACACTTATGATTAGAGGTTAGGATATAATCTACAAACTAATATGCCATTGTACTTACAGGCATACACTAAAGCTGCAAGTCCAAACAGAACTACGTTGATCAAATGCGCCAATCTTTCCCTCTCGAAAAAGGCACGAGAGCCCCTCATGTATCTTGACTTCGAGAAATCTGTCGACAATCCTCTACGGAAAAGATAATGTATATTAGACACAAGGCTTTATTCGTAAAATATAATACAATTAACGACCCTTGCTCCCTTTCCTCGACCTTATAGTTTTTGATAGAAAATTGATGGTACTTTTAAACATGGAGCAATTAGACGGATTAACTTTATTGAATAAGGGCTTATAGGCGAGTAGATTGAGTCATAACAAAGAAAATAACTAAAACTAATCTAACCAAGAAGCAAGACGCCACGTCAAATTCACTAATAAAATATACTACGTGGAATTTTTTTACCACCTGGAGTACTTTAGGTAATTAGCAAATATTATTTAATTGAATATCAATCACAAATATTTCAATTATTATATAATATTACTAAAATAAATTAAAATTAAATGTATATACTATTGTTTCGTATTAAAAGTGAGTATTCTGCGAATAAAATAATACATCCAGCGCCGGACTTCCTATCGCGAAAGCCATCCCGGATATGAAGTACCTGCACTGTGTTAGAGTACTTTCAATACAGATGTTAGTAAAAAAATCCACTAAGTATTGGTATATTTGCATACAAATATATTCTTACATTTGGTCAAAACTAGTAAGGTTGTACAATGCCTCAGTGATGAAACTGTGGGCGGCAAACATTGCAGGCACTTGGACCGATATCAGCCCTAATCCCACAGCCAGTAGCAGTCCCAGCAAAGTCATCATATTCGTCTGATTCATGCGGAGAAAGTAACGTTGGTATAACATCTCCACCTGTAATAAATATAATCATCAAAATCTTCGAACTGAAAAATGATAAGGTAGGTGAGATTAAGGGGTAGAGAGACAAAACTCCATACATTATCATACGTGACGCTAAGTCTAGACTCTCTAGATTTGTGCATGTCTAGAAAAATATTCGTATACAGTGAAGCTTTCTACAGAATCCCGTAAACGACGTAATATAAATTAGTGCATAGAAATGAGATTCACAGAGGTATAATTTAAATTCTACCTAAATAAATAATTTTACATATCAACAAGGGTTTAAACTTAAACCCCTTGTAAGTAATACTATGTGTTTATAAAAATGATACGTATTTTTAACACGCCTATTTCAGCTGTAAATCTGAAACTTATCTAAAGAGAACTTTGTTGTATGACAGGGCCTTGAGAAGTTTGAAGTCCGATAAAGTGTTTGTGAGGACTCAGATGATTATACCTTTGGGCCGTATTTGAAATATATATTTCTTATAATATCAGGAGTCGCTCAGCTATAATATAAAGGGATAAAACACTGGAGAGGGTGGGAAGAATATTGTCTGTTGTTTCCTGATCAATTTAAGAAAATAGCCGCAAAGCCACTTTAATCGAATTTCTAAGTTAATATTTTATTATTTCTGCTTATTGCTCAGAGCTGGTGCCCACGAATACTTCCACGTGAATTTTAGTTTTATCACGCACTGACTTCGGACTGCATCCTGATGTTTTGGCATGAATTATTAACATATATTTTTATTTATTTATTTATTTATTTACAGCCTTATATCAGAAATACAAAATATATACATTATAACTGTTATTTTTCTTAATCTACGATAACTGATTCTGTGTGCCTACGGGCAAAGGCCTCCCCCATTGTCCTCCATTTTTCCTTATTGTATACCAATCTCGTCCAGGTTTTAGTCTTTCCTGCCATTTCCACGTTTTCATCGGCCCACCTTTTAAATTGCCTACCTCTGTTTCTTTTATGGCCTCTTGGTTGCCATAGTGTTACAATTTTGCTCCATTTATCTGCTCCTCTTATGGTATGTCCAGCCCATTTCCATTTTAGTACTTTTGTTTTATACACAACGTCAGCAAACCCTGTTTTATCTCTTAATTTCTTGTTACTAATTTTATCAATTCTTCTTTTCTTTATTATGCTTCTTTCCATGGCTCTCTGGGTTACACTTAATCTTTCACATAGTGCTTTGGTAAGTGCCCACGTTTGACAGCCATATGTAAGAATTGGTAGGATGCATATGTTGAAAAGTTTTCACTTGATGTGCATGCTTGTTTGACTATTTTTCATAACTTCTTTTAGGGACCAATATCTCTTCCATGCATTTCCAATTCTTCTGTCTATTTCCTTTGTAAATGAATCATGGTTGGATATCAGTTGACCGAAATAAAGATATTCTGATACATAATCTATTGTGTTGTCATCTATTTTTATTACTCTGTCATTCCTGCCATTGGTCATGGCTTTAGTTTTTTGGATGTTCATTAAGAGTATATTTTATTCATTAACATATATAAGTATATTTAAATTATACATCAATTCTTAAATAATGCTACAAGCTAAGTATAAACACCATAATCACCTACAATAATTTGATGAAATTTATAAATATGTGGTTTCTGATTTCTTGGTTACAAAATCTAGTTGAACAACTACAAGGTACACATAAAATCTCTTCTTTAAACCCAATTATAGTAAATACTTGTATGTACTAGTTAAGAACGGGAGGTGATTAATGGTGTAGTTTAAATGTCCAATTTAAATGGTTAAGTGTAACATTTGAGGATGCGATAACGCAACATTAGCCTCGTCATAAAAACTAACGAAGTTTTTAGTTATTTTTCGAGTCACGATAGAATTCTATTAGAACTAAACTTAAATGTTTCTTGTTGAACCTTAACCAATTTTTATATTGTACGGAATGTCGACGCTTCGGTGGACGAAGTAATCAATTTGTGATCAATTTTTTGTCCCTGTTACATATTTATATTCTCTTTTAAATAAATAAATAATATGTGTTTGCTTAGATATAAATTTTGAGTAACAGGTGTGTTTGTTGCTCTAGCGAGCTAACTCTCACGAACCCCGTGTTCGTGTGTTCGAATTACGGCTCCAATGGATTTTCTTTCCATGGGTGCAATAATACTTGCACGTATGGTGAACGTAAGCATCGTGAGGTAAACAGCATATTTTAAACACAAAAAATTATTGACGTGGTTCAGGAAGGTTCGCCTATTTTCCTATAAAAAATAACTTATAAACTATTACTGAAGACATGGTTATTCACTTGTTAACAACATTATCCCTTTGTAGTAATGATTCCCGATCCGTTAAGAGTACTTTTTTTGCTTTAAACTACATCTGATAACTTTTATAGCACCTCACAGATGACATATGAAATGTACTCCTATGAAAATATACATTCAAAGTTCCAGTCTGTTTGCCTTTTTCCCAATAAACGAGTTAATTTAAGCTTTTGTTAAATAATATGGTGACATAAAATTGAATTAGTTTGTCCAGTGTATTATTTTTTTTAAATTTTCTTTTCACTACAAGTTTAGACTGATTAAAAGCAGACTTTTTTAAATATCCACTTCACAATGCTCTACAAAGTATTAATATAGGTAAATAAATCAACTCATGTCAGTTAATATACTGACATGTCTCATGGGACCTATTCGCTACAAATCCCGATCGATCCAAGGACGTTGGTGCTATGTTTAACATACAAAAAACTAAACTCCAGGTTCGGTTTTTCGAAGTCGGATAAAAATTGGAAGTCATAAGTAAATATCACTTTAATTGTTGAATAATGTAGAATACATTGGACAAACTTATTTCATCTTCTCCGCCGTAATAAAAAATAGTCTCATTGGCCTCTTTAAACATACATAGTTTAGTTTTAACTTTTATGAATAAGGGAATTAGTATTCTTACATCCTACTAATATTAGGTCCTTACACATGAAATTGGCGTTTTGTATGGGAGGAACAAAAAGTCGAATATTTTTAAATATAATATATTTAATTAATCAAAGTATGAATCATTGTTTTCTATGCACTTTTCCCATCTCATAGGTAGTTCATTGATCCCTTTACTAAAAAGACCAGTCGGACGGGAATCAATAAAATCTGTGAAGGCGATTTGGACTGCCCCATCAGAGTTAATTTTTTTCCCTTGCAAGAAGTTGTCCAAATTTCGAAAAAAATGGTAATCTGTTGGAGCAAGGTCCGGGGAGTACGGAGGATGTCTTCGACATTCCAATTGAAGCTCTTTTGATTTGGTAGCCGTCTGTTGTGCAGTGTGTGGTCTAGCGTTGTCGTGAAGTAGCAGTGGCGTGGAGCGATTGACCAGCCTAGGTTGTTTAGCCGCTAGCTTTTCCATCATGGTTTGCAATTGCTGACAATAGACATCAGCCGTAATAGTCTGGCCAGATTTGAGAAAACTGCAATGAACAATACCGGCACTAGTCCACCAAACGCTTACAAGTAACTTTTTTGGGGTAAATTTTCGCTTGGGGCAGGATTTGGCTGGCTGGCCAGGATCCAACCATTGCGATGAGCGCTTTCGATTATCGTAAAGAATCCATTTTTCATCACAGGTAATGATTCGGTTTAAAATACCTTCATTATTGTGCCGGTTCAGTAATGTAACGCAGCAGTCGACGCGCGTTTGCCGGTTTGCTTCAGTCAATTCGTGAGGTACCCATCTTTCAAGCTTTTTAATCTTCCCAATTAGCTTCAAATGAATTAAAACAGTTTTATCACTAACACCGCAGCCTGCAGCTAACTCGGACGTGGTTTGCGATGGATCCGCTTCATTATCAACTTGGTTCTCAGGCCGTCCACGGGGCTTGTTCTGCAGGTCGAAATTTCCAGAACGAAAATGTTGGAACCAAAAACGAACTGTGTTTTCTTTTGCAACATGACCGCCATACACATCATTCACCCTTCGAGTCGTTTCCGCAGCACTAGTGCCACGGCGGAACTCGTACTCGTAAATAATGCGATACCTACTTTAAGTTTTCCATTTTGTAAAATGAGTGACGCAAACAGAAAAAAACAGAAGAAAAAAACAAATGAATGACGGTCATCGAAGCACAAATACATGAGTAAATAGCTGTACAAATTTGAATTTGGAATTCCTTACCAAATAGGAGAACATCGTGATTAAAGTGGCCAGTACGAAATACGCCAATTTCATATGTAAGGACCTAATATTGTAAACGCGAAAGTTTGAAGTATGGATGGATGTTTGTTACTCTTACACGAAAAAACTACTGAATGGATTTTAATGAAACTTACAATAATATACATTATACATTAGAATAACAGATGGGCTACACTTTATAAAGATATTGTGTGAATTGTCCAAAATATCAAGTAAGTGGCAAAAAATCTACTATCTACGAGCTATTCTGGCCTGCGCTGCCAAAACCGCCATAGTTACACATACTCATATGTTATGTCTGATGGAAATGTTTATTTTAAATAGTCGTACAAAAAAGCCAGCCACAGTATACGAAATCATATGTGTAAGCCATTATGGCCAAAATAGTGAACCATAACTACAATAAAAATTGATCTTAATTTATTTCAAATGCATATTTGGTAGTAATAAATTGATTCCTAAATGAAAATAGATACTTTGAACGCTTCTGGTATTTAAAGTGGATAAAATATGTCTTTCACGCTACATCATTTGGACAAATATTATTTTAATCCTGCGCAAATGAAGTCGCGGGCACCAGCTAGTGAAACATTAGCGAAATATGTTTTGTTTGAGATGATTGATTGTCTTTTGAGTTATGGCAATACTTCAATACAATCTAATTCAACATCATCGATGTAAGAGTCTCACTGGCCACGCTTTCGAAAATACTTGAAACTTCAATATATGTAAATAATTACATGGTTATAAATCGTTCGTTAAATAACTTTTATTTACATTTGTGCTTCCGTAAAACAAAGCTTTTATAAATCCTACACTGTAAGGTATTGTCATGTGAAGTTTGCATCTATTTTCATACTTCGGCCTAATCAGATTTCACGAAAGCGACTACCCAAAGGATAACTAGATTTCCGACTATTCCACCAATTTTACGTTAGAAACAGAATGCTTAGTGGAATTCGTATGTTATGTTTTCCAGTTCCAGATCGCAAACTGGAAGCGTTTAACATCTGGGTTTATGCTTAAAATATCTTGGACAGACCGCATACGAAGTACAACCGTGCTGGACAGAATGCAGAAGAACAAAGAAGTGCTTATGACGGTAGAAAAGGAAACTTGAGTATGTCGGACACGTTTTACGTAACACCAAAAAATACGAGCCCCTTCAACTGATCTTACCAGGCAAAGTGGCAGGTAGAAGGAGACCTGGCCGCAGACGCACGCCTTGGTTGAAAAACTTAAGTCAATGGTTTGGTCAAAGCACCAAGTCATTGTTTAGAAGCGCGGCATCCAAAATTAAACTAGCCACGATGTTCACCAACCTTCGCAAGGAGATGGTACTATAAGAAGACGATGTTATGTTTTGAAGGATCACTGTGATCGCCCTCTGCCCCAGGCAGGGGACATTATGTTTTATGTGATAAACAAATTTCAACAATTATTTACCATTAATTGACAATCAAAAATATTCCTAAATACAATTTGTAAGGTATTTAGTGTGTGTGTTTTTATATTAATATACCTAGTCATACTAGTAACATACATTTTGTTGCATTAAGAGCGCCCTTCCCCGTCCGACGAACGTCAACGCGAGCATGGCCAAAAAAGCTTGTTGTTTCATCCAGCGCAACGTCAGCAAGTGAGAACGCGATAACATTGAAAGAAAAATAGTGTGCGGAAATTTCATCAAACTTGTTCCAAGAAATACGTGTTTTTTTGTAAGCCTTACAAGATTATGAAAAAAAGTTTTACATTTAGAAAGTCCATTACATTTGCAAGGTTTCTATGCAAATATTTCTTTCCGGTTACAATTAATGAGTCCATTATAAACGCCCAAACTTCATAAAAAAAATTGTGCAAAAAGGCTTATTTTTGGAGGTTCGTACTGAATTTGTTTCTTAAAATTTTGATTTCGCGTTTTAATAGAAACCTAGATATAGAGCACAAGGTGCCTATTAGTTCAAAAGTTTCAAAGAAATATCTGTTACAACGCTATAATCACGTACGAGCGTTTGTATGAAAAGATAGACGGGTTTGCCGCTCTTAAGGAAATAAATGTAGGTTTTAGACAAAAAGTTGACAAGCCACTGCTCAGAAGATAAGCGTTATTAATCCCTTGATTTTGGTTTGGATTTTCCCTTGATTTAATACTCGGAACAAACGCAGGCTGCAATTTTCCCGCACTAGACTATCTAAAGTAGGTAATTCTTTTTTGGGAAAAGGGATACTCTTCTTTATAAAATCCCAGAGCCTCTTTTATCTCTGCCTTTTAATAAATTTAAGAAATGTATTAAAGAAAAGCTGTGTAAAAGGCTTACTATAAAGTTAACGATTATCTAGTTGATAAAAGGGCCTGGGACTAGTGCTTGACAGGCTACTTCTAATTAATTTGCGATATTTATTTTAAAATCGGCCTACACCCTTTGTCTTCTTTGCCGATGAGTACGGATGTCTACCTATTCAAACTTAATGACGTGGAATAAGTGATACCTGTATCTTATGTTACATAATAAACATATTTTTATTCACTTAAAATCAGGTGAGCCCGTTTGACTCCTTTTTTTTTAAAGTTTTTCTTTGATTTTGGTTGTGTACTTTACTAGTCATGCTATACAACTTGACATCTCTAATTAGTAGATCTCACTGTGTTTAAATATTGATTAATCCTTTTTAATTTATTTTAATTTACAATTTGTTTTGATCCCTTAAAATTACATTCTGTATCATAAAATATGTATGCAAAAGGTTATGAATGAGGTAACTTATCCGAAGTTTTCACGTTTCTGAATATATTATGTAAGAAAAACCCTGTAATTTTCTCTTAAGTACGCCGGAGTGGATTACATTTTAGTCAAGAAATAAATATTTATGATTATTCAACAATAGATTTTAGACCAAAATACTTTTAAATAATTACATACAATTATTGAAATGTCATGTAAAATAGAAACTGCTTATTGTTGGGGTCTCCATAATTTTTTAGCCCTTTTTGCTTATAATA